GCATTTTCTGCAGGAAATTCATTTTCGAGTTAAAGAAGATCTACAGCAGGATTTTTAAACTCAATCATTGGTGTGATTCTGGGATCCCTGTTGTGTAACCCATCGGTCTGAATGTTGCTGAATTGGTGAAAAGTGCCAGCTTGTCAACATGATTTTTTGAAGGACGTTCATAAAACACTGATGGTGGGTTAGGTCAAGGGCCATGTCCTCTTCAGAAGAGAGAAGATCCAATATCGATATCACGTTTAACAAGGGTTTATTTTTCTTTATATTATCTCTGTTGAAAGTAAAGGAACATCCTCTGTTGGAGGGGTTATCTGCTGAGTTTCAAGAAAATGTCTTTGTAGTGACCACTGCTGCTCTTTGATGACATAGTATATTAACAATGAACACATTGTGTAACTCTAAAAAAAGTCATATCCCAACCTGTCACTGTTTACTGATGGCGTAGCAGCTGTTTGTGATTACTTGATTCTTGTAAATTGTAGTTTTTGTTCCTGTCTTTGTGTGGCCCCTCAGGGGTGTAAGAATGAGGAGGAGGGAGAGGTGGAGGATGCACCATGCCACACCGGTCCTGTGGGGAGGTAGATCCAGCTGCCACTGAGGCTGGGATTCATTTAATTGATGAGTCGCATCCGTTCTCTCTCAGTCAGCAGCTTGTTAGCGCGTCAGCTGCTTCAGGAATGAAGTGATGTCCCTGGTTTATTTACTGATATTAACTGACACAATTTAGTGTGTATCTTAATCTCATATGACTGGTGATTCATTGAGTATAGTCACTTAATTTGCCTTTAATACAATATTTAATTGAGAATGGCCGTGGCACATCAACTAACAGTCTATTCTCCCCCAGGTCTCGTCCTAAGTTAGTTTATTGGTCAATAGCAGTTTGCAGCACTCAAAGAATGCAGTCACCACCACAGAGGGCTTTCATCATGTCTACTGGAAGACCACAACAGAGGACCCTTCATCTAGAGGACCACAGCAGAGGGGAATTATTTTTTTCTCTACTGAAAAGCTAAACTTTGTTAAGTTATTTGCATTTCAAGGAAGTCCTAGAGGTCACTTTTCACTTTTGTCTAAATAATAAAAGCAAAAAATGGTACAGTTATACACACCATTATTTGATGTACTATTCTATTAGAATGATCATAGGGTTTGGATATCATAGATGAAAGTAGTAAATCATCATTTTAAAACACCCACTGGTAATATCTTGACCAAGAGCAATGCATCCTGGGAGACACTGGAGCTAACAAGCTGCATCCACAGACGCTTAGCAATTATCAATACACACAGGGCCAGTGATTATATCATGATGACCTCCAGTGTCATGAAACAAGCGTTGCAGCCTGGAGACCAACTTGACAAGATCTGATCCCTGAAGGAGGCACAAGATAAGGCTCCAGACGGAACAATGTACAGCACTCTTCACACACCAAATGCCTCATTTCACCTGTGCTTCTCTTTGTAAATCAAAGGACAACATAACAGCACATCACTTTTTGGTTTCGGACGTAACATATTCAATCAGTTTTTTTACTTTCCCCACAGAAAGTCTTCTTTGTGACATATATTTGACATACCATGTTAAATACCGCAAATTACACTTCACACCCAAAGATATTACAGCAATGCAGTAATCACAGCAGAGCTGTGTGTCAGGGTTACACATATATTTTAATTCGTGAAGTTAAAACAGGGGTCTAGGAACAAATGAAAACAATGAAACAAAATGTACCAATTTCAGACACATCTTATGTTCATCAGTGTGAATTTTGATCTATCACTTCTCCCACGCTAACTAAGAAGCATCAGCAGATTAACTGTAATCTGATTTACAGCAGCTGCAGTCCACCAGCACACAGAGAGACAGCTTCCATGCTGTACACATCGAGCTTGATAGAGTGAGGACACAACGAATGCTTAATTCATTGGTTGGACCAACCTTTTCTTTAGGTTGCACTCATGCTACAACAACCATAATCTCTTTTCTGCAATGACAAGGTCCTTTTAGATTTTCAGTTAGCACAATATATACTTTAGTATTGATTCACATACATGTTTAGTGATATATGAGCAGAAATTGACAATTTTTTATAGAAGAAAAATAAGTATTATTTTACACATTCAGAAATCTGTTCTTTGCATTTAACCCATCCCACACAGTGGGAGCAGTGTGCTGCCCTAAAGGCGCCCGGGCAGCAGTTAGGGGTTAGGTGTCTTGCTCAGGGACACTTCAACATGGAACATGGAGCAGTCAGGATTCGAACCGCCAACCCTGCGGTTTCCGGCGCACCCTCTCTACTCCACGCGCCACAAAATAACACCTAAATCAATTTATTTTGTATTGCCCAAAATCACAGATTTGCCACAGAGGGCTTTAAAATCTGTACACATGTGACGTCCTGTCACAGGCAGACGCTCCCCGTCCCCGGAATATTGAGGTGCGAAGATCGGGACCTCAGTCACCCCTGTTTTGAGCCATAATGGTTTGTGCCATCTGGGATCAGCCCACCGACTCACCTGGGGCTCGTCACTAATCAGAGCCAGCCCTGTACTTAAGCCTGTGACTCCCCAAAGCTCCTTGCGAAGTCTTGTGCATGTTCCATCACATTCCGAGCGTTTTCCCGATCTCCTGTTCTTGCCTGTTATTGACCTCTCGTTTGTCCCAGACCTCGTTCCTGCCTGCCTGATCCTCAACGGTACTTCTGTCTAACTCCACGTAATCCCGGCTTTCGACCACCCGCCTGTACTCCGGATACGACCACGCCTGACCCCCTGACGGTGCCTCTGTTTATCCCCGCTCTCCTGGCTTTCGACCCTCTGCCCGCCTACTGGACTCGACCACGCCTAACCCTTGTCTGTACTTCCACAATAAAGCTGCGCTCTGCGCTTGGGTTTCACTCCTGTCTCTTGTGATGCGTTACACGTCCTCTGATCTTTTGACAGGCACAGGGAAAACTCCAGGAGCATCTTTGCTGTTACTTTTTCTCAATAGCAGCTGGAATAAATCTTCAGCAGGTTGGTCCATCTCACCGCTGAGCTGCTTGGCTTATTATGGAGCTACTCGAAGGGTCAGAAACCCAAGGCCAGAGAAGAGTCTACAGAGCCAAGTGGGAAGGATCTGGTGTGCATGTGTGCCTGTAACATGTGCACCTGGAGGCTTAATAAGTGAATGGATAAAATGATACCACAGTCGTTAGATATCTGTGAGATGGACAGGAAATAGGCGCGATGAACGTGAAACTAGCCCTTACTAAAATGAAATGGTCTTTAGATAGACATGAGAGATATACATGAGATAGACGAGAGATAAAAATTAGATGAACATGACATAGCCGTGAAATAGTTTTTAGATAGACATGAGATGGTCGTGAAATAAACATGAGATGGACATGAAATAGCCGTTAGATAGACAAGAGATAAATATCACAAAGACATGAGATAGCCATTAAATAGACATTAGATGGCTGTGAAATAATCAAGTTCACAGCTCTATTGAGCAGTGTATTCCTTCGGACCTCATCAGTGATGACTTTATGAACTTATTTGTGTGGGCGTGAGTGGGGAGCACGGTCGTCCTCCAATCAGAGGGTTGTCGGTTCGATCCCAGGCCCCGCTATTCCTCATGTCGATGTGTCCTTGGGCAAGACACTTAACCCAGCATTGCTCCTGTAGCTGCAACTACAGTGTGTGGATGTTAGTTACTGATGTGCAGGCGTCACTGTGTATGGTTCTCCTGTCATCAGTGTGTGAATGGGTGAATGATGTCATGTAGTGTTAAAGTGCTTTGAGTGGTCAGAAGACTAGAAAAGCGCTATACAAGTACAGTCCATTTACCATTTAATGATAATATTAGAATATTAGAGAAAATTGATGGTCTGCTGCCTTCAACCAGTACCCACCCGTCCTCGGCTGTAAGAACTTTGGAGGCACTGATGAACATTTGGATAGTAGAAGGAGAGGTCCTTCTACACAAATTCAGCTAATTAATGCACATCACTAATTCAGCCTATTCTCTGGAGTTTTGGTACTTTGGTACTCATGTTTCCATGGATCATGGTTATATCTGGCCACTGGTCTTGCCTCCTGCCATGGCCCTGCTGACATCTGCTGCTGCTTTCATTATTATTATGAAGTCTTTGTGCCTCCTCACAGGTTTCGGTGGATAGTGGCTAGATCTGATGGTAGTTTATCTGATAATGTTTTATCTGATGGTGGTTTATCTGATAGTGGTTCAATGTATAGGTGGTTGTTTCTGCAGCAGTCCTGTCTCACACATGTCTCACTACTCTCAATATTTGAATAATTTCTGTCATATGCATTGAGCGTATTGTGCATCTTTTGCGTTGTTCGTTCTGTGAACATAACATCTGTTTTTTTATTTTGGGCTTTACAAAATGAAATTAATTTAATGAAATTGAATTGCGAAAACAAAACACAAACGCAGATTGAGCCTTGTAAACATTTACTGAGAGAAGATGAGAAGAATGGACTGACTGATGTACCTTCTGTCTCCCTGTTCAGCAGCTCTTACTTTCCCAGCAGCTCCCAGCTGTCACACACTGAGCTCAGGGGATTGAGATTAGCTGAGGCTGCTGGAGTCTGATGCCTCACTTTAGCTGTGCACATACTAAGAGGATTTACTCCTACTGGAAGGGATATAAATAAAGAGGTGGCTCGTTTATCTATTTAGAACTGAAAACATGCCCATGAAATGATCTTCATCTTCATACATATGACAACATACGTGAAATAATAAAATATCAGATTTGTATCCAATTCATATATATACATATATGTGTGTGGTTCAATGAAATCACATCAACTTTTATAACCCAAAGTTGCTAGAGTATGATTATTTAATATCCAACATCTTGTTTAGTGTCATAGATTGTTTCGTTAAAGTCAGCGTCAGCTTATTCTCAGTTTGCAGCCATAGAAAAGTATTCCCTCCCCCTCCTTCTCTTCCTCCTCCTCCCTTCATCCTCCGAGGTTGTGCAGAGTGGAAGAAGAGATCACCTCCTGGTACTTGTGTCATGTACTCTGTGACAGCATGCTGTGTGTATCTGAACCTGGGAGAACCATGTTGATATGAAGGAGGAAGAAGCAACAAGAAACCATATGGAATCCATTCAGAGCTGACTCGGGGTCTAAACTGCTCATCATCATCACCATCATCACTCACATTCAGGTAAACTACATCTACACAGTAGATAGTGAATGTTTTTAACGCTACGGTGTGATTAGAAAAGAGAACGTCTCTGAAGTCCTCAGTTTAACCAGTCACACTGGGTTGAAAATCTAATTTTAGCCAATGTAATCTGGGACAGAAGGATTTGAGTTAAAGGTGGTAAGAAATCCGCTGAGCACATGGAATTAAACGTCACTTCATTTTGACTGGTAGCAATGGGAACCTAGTCGTATCATGTTAGTTAAAGACAGGGCGATAAAATAAAAAGTGTTTCGGTGAATGATAAGCTGTTAGTCCAGTTAAGGGAATGGAACCACTGTAGCATTTCTAAGCATGTAAAATATGACTTTTATTAGTCTCTATTCACACATTGGAGTCCCTTATATTCTGTTGTTGTGGTTGTTGAAAAAGGATCCCCCTCTCAGTTCAGTTTTTTGCACTGATTACATTTATAGGTCAGAGATTCAACAATAGAATCACTGACTTATTTAACACTTGGCATATTGAATTAATTTGTAGCACATTCTGATTTGTTACATGTATCACGAATAATGTGATTATTACATTACATACAATTTACAGTTGTGGTCAAAAAAGTGGTCAACTCTGATTTTTCTCTGATAGAGTGAGTGGAACAGATACGTCTTGGCACAAAAAACATTCGTGAAGTTTGGTTCTTTTATGACTTTATTATGGGTTAACAGGAAAAGTGACAACATCTGCTGGGTCAAAAATATACATACAACAATATGAATTAGCAATTTTGGTGACTTAGAAAGTTGTGTCAATGAAATGAGCTTCATAGCCTCTTAACTTCTTATGAGTGATATGAGTGACTACAGCTGGTGACGTCTCTGAGGCCATTTAAATAGGGCTCATTGGATACAAACGCACACAAATGTTACAAAGTCAAAGGAGCTGAGCATGGATCTGAAAAAGCAAATCATTGACTTGAACGAGTCAGGAAAGTCACTTGGAGCCATTTCAAAGCAGTTGCAGGTCCCAAGAGCAACAGTGCAAACAATTGTTTTAAGTATAAAGTGCATGGCACTCTTTTGTCACGATCAGGAAGAAAAGGCAAGCTACCACCTGCTGCTGGGAGAAAATTAGTCAGGAGGGTGAAGAGTCAACCGAGAACCACCAAAAAGCAGATCTGCCAAGAATTAGAAGCTGTTGGAACACAGGTGTCCACAGTCAAGCGTGTTTTGCATCTCCATGGACTGAGAGGCTGCCGTGCAAGAAGGAAGCCCTTGCTTTAAAAGTGGCACCTAAAGGCTCGACTGAAATTTGCTGCTGATCACACGGACAAAGATAAAACCTTCTGGAGGAAAGTTCTGTTCTGGAGAAAATCGAGCTGTTTGGCCACAATGCCCAGCAATACGTTTGGAGGAGAAGATGACCACCAGGAAGATGACCAAAAATCATCAGATCAGAAGGTTGGGTCTTGGGCGCAGTTGGGTGTTCCAACAGGACAATGACCCCAAACACACATCAAAAGTGGTAATACAATTGCTAAATCAGGCTAGAATTAGGGTTTTAGAATGGCCTTCCCGAAGTCCTGACTTCAATCCCATTGAGAACATGTGGACAATGCTGAAGAAACGAGTCCATGTCAGAAAGCCATCAAATTTAACTGAACTGCACCAATTCTGTCGAGAGGAGTGGTCAAAGATTCAACGAGAAGCTTGTGGATGGCTACCTAAAGCGCCTAATTAAAGTGAAAATGGCCAAGGGACATGTAACCAAATATTAGTACTGCTGTATGTATATTTTTGACCCAGCGGATTTGATCACTCTTTCTGTTAACCCATAATAAAGTCATAAAAGAACCAAACTTCATGATTGGAACAGATACTTCTTTATCAGAGAAAAATCTGACTTGTAGAAATAACGGGAAACTCAAGAGAGCCATGATATCATGTTCTTTACAAGTCTATGTAAACTTAATACTTAAAATCAATACATGTGAGATGTCACCACAAACAAAAGTGATTTCTTATTGCATGATAAAGTTTTCATAAATTGGTCAATACAGGAACCACCTTCAAATACTACAATGGTCTTAATATAGCTGGTATTAATTTATAAAGTCAAACTCTCCATGATCTCATCACAATGAAAATTATTCTGTGCACACATTAGTCTTTGGTGTAAAGTCAATATGTCTCAACCTTCTAGAAAATCACTAGTCACTAGTCACTAGTCAAAATCACTAGTCTCACTTCAATTACCTGAAATCATGTTTTTATGACTAAGTCATTGATTTAATCGATGTGTATCAAGGCTATAAAAATATATCTTTGATAAGATTATGGACTGTTTCTTGGAATCATATTGAGAATACATGGTGTATAGCTGTTTTCAATAAATGTTCATTAATATCTTTGACTCCTCATATTCTAAAAAATACCTTTTCCTTTTGAAGTTCATTATTCAGTTGATTAATGACAATTTGCACTCATTGTTTTATGAAATATGGAAAGTGCTGTAGCCGTAAGATTAGCAGACGGCTCTCAATCAGAATCGTTAGTTCCCTTGTCAAATCTATGAAATCGAACATTTGTGCCTCCAAAAGAGCATTCAAATGACTTTGGTGAAGCCTTCTGCTCTGTTGCTCCTGATTTTTCGATCCTAACGCTCTGCTGGAGACTGCTGTTTAACACGTGGACCTGCATGAGGCACGATGGACAGCCAGGATCAGACATCTTGAGTGGAGTCAACTACTGTATGCGCTAACATGGGGTGTCCACCAGATAATGAATTGGTTTACCAAGTGAAATACCCCCGTATTCAACTAGTGATCTACACATGTTACTATGCTATACAGTACTATATTTCCACACCCTGTGTTCCTGTGAGTGACGTTGATCTGTTTTCAAAGGCCGTCCCACACGATGCCCTTTGGGAGGAGCAGTGTTGGTCCTGTAGAGACCGGCCTGAGCAGCCGGCGGACAGAGGGCAGCATGAGGAGCAGGTGAGCCTTTGCGTTCCGTTGTTAGGTCCATACTCACACATTGAACACAACAAGGTGTCACACAGAGCCTGTTCTGTGGTCACCACGGAGATGCAGCTGTAGCTGAACAACAGTTGGCTGTATCTAAAACACAAGATCACGTGTTTCCCTTGGGTACAAACCTACCTACATTAACATTAACCACAGAAGAAGATAAAGGAAGGTTTTAATTGTTTTTATTGTGGTTGAAATAAACTTTGTATATTTCTTTTGGAAACACGTCTCCCGCCTGCTCAATATAGCGACCTTGTGTTGTCCTTTTGCTTAAATTTAGAAATTTACTTTATTCATAGTTTTTTGTTCTTTCTTTTTCCCTGGGTTACCTCCCGGGGTGGCGTTGCTGGTTTTCTTTTTTCCCTTACTTAAAATACAAACGATCGGGGCAGTCTTCCTCGAACTCACGCTTGCCACAAACTTGGCAGACTTGGCATGTTAATACAAGAAACTGCTTTTCACGTTATCCATGTGCTGTATTGCTCTTCCAGCGAAAGGACATATAGAAGCAACAACGGTCTCAGTAGAGGGACCCCAGCAGTCCTTTAGTGGGAGCCAAGAGTGGGACATGGAGACTGTAGATTCCTCCGTCTCAAATACATGAAATGATCTGATTGTCTTTCAGTGGTGGTGAAGGGGCCCTTGCTGCTCAGAACATGAACAACTGCAACAATAATGATGGGTAAGATAGTCCACGTCAGGTGATGTACACATTTACATAAAGAAATAGGGCTGGCTCCCCTACGGTACAAACACATTACAGAGATATACCAGAAGATTCGAATACTGATATCAGAAACTGATTGATCAAATATTGTTTATATATATGGCAAAACATAAAACGTCCAGAGTAGTGAGTTGTATATCCCCTGATTGGTCTGACCAAGCTTCTATCAAACTGTCCCATCCCTCATAAATCAGGCTGATCACACTATTGGGACTGCTTCTTGTTCCACCACTGGCAAAAGACATCAGCACCACCTTCAGGCTCGCTCACATTACTGAATGTACTACAATACACATATAATTTATGTCACCTGCCTCTGTTGGTGGACATTTACAGTAAAAAAGACGACAAGAAGGATGAGAAGAAAGACGATAAAAAGGATGACAAGAAGGACGCTAAAAAAGAAGAACCGTGAGTAACGCATACTATGGCTGCAACCTTCTGTCAAACAGGAACTTTAAAAAAAACGTGTTCATGGTTGGACACACATTTGCTCAAGATTTTGTAAAAATTTAAAATCCTGTCTGTGATCTAAAATAATTCAAACAAAGTTTGTCCACACCACATGAGTAATTTTAAGGTGTCATAACAATATTGTTGTTCCATTTCAGGACAGTTTCTGATTCAAAAATTGAGTTGGCAGCAGTGGTAGTTGCAGCACAAGCTATCATCATATTAACAGTCAACATTCTTTGTGTGAATATGGTAGATATTAAAACCAAAATCTGTAGAAGTCTCCATAAAAAGATCTCTTGTAAACCTGCAGGAGTTCATCTTCCCTGCACATGGTCATGAACAGACAGTAGATTCTAGTATCAGTAGGGTTAGACCTCTTGAATAACGACACCAATATGTGACAGCTGAGCCTAAGTTTGTGTGTTTGAACTTTGAACTGAAACCTCTCCTCATTCAGAAAGGAAGTGTGGATCATGGACCCAGCTACAGATACCTACTACTACTGGCTGTGCACCATATCTGTCCCAGTGTTCTACAACCTGATTTTCCTGGTGGCCAGGTCTGACTTCATGGTCTTCTGTCAGTCCTCTCCACATGACTGTTTCTCAGATCTCACTCATGGCTGTGTTTCCCTGCAGGTCTTGTTTTAATGAACTGCAGTCTGCAAATGTAACGATGTTGATGGTTTTTGACTACAGCTCAGATGTCCTCTACTGTATTGACACCTTTGTGAGAGCCAGGACAGGTCAGTGACGGTCCTCTGATGAATGTAAAAACATAGAAAATGACGATGCTAATAATGTTGCTGATGTGTCAACAGGTTTTCTGGAACAAGGTCTTCTTGTAAAGGATGCAAAAATCTTGAAAGAAAAGTACATGAAGACCCGGCAATTCAAACTAGACATGATATCAGTGATTCCCACAGATCTCATATTCCTAAAAATTGGCATCAACAACCCCGAGTGGAGGTTCAACCGTCTCTTTAGGCTAGCCCGACTTTTTGAGTTCTTTGACAGGACAGAAACTCGAACAAATTTCCCCAACATCTTCCGAATAGCTAATCTTGTGCTCTACATCATCATCATTATCCACTGGAACGGTTGCCTCTATTTTGCCATCTCCAAGGTCCTCGGATTTGGCTCTGACACCTGGGTGTATCCAGATGGAAAGAACCCTGAGTTCAAACGCCTGGCAAGGCAGTACATATACTGCTTCTACTGGTCCACTCTCACCCTGACCACTATCGGGGAAACGCCGCCTCCAGTTCGAGACATTGAATACTTTTTTGTGGTAGCTGACTTCCTCACTGGGGTTCTGATCTTTGCAACGATTGTAGGCAACGTTGGTGCCATGATTTCAAACATGAATGCAGCACGAGTGGAGTTCCAGGCCAAGATTGACTCTATAAAGCAATACATGCAATTTCGAAAGGTCACAAAAGATTTGGAGATGCGAGTGGTGAAGTGGTTTGACTACTTGTGGACAGAGGAGAAAACGTGTGATGAGAAGCTGGTGCTGAAGAACCTGCCGGACAAGCTCAAGGCTGAGATAGCCATCAACGTACATCTGGAGACACTGAGAAAAGTGCGCATCTTTCAAGACTGTGAGGCAGGTTTGCTTGTTGAGCTGGTCCTCAAACTTCAGCCTCAGGTCTTTAGTCCCGGCGACTACATCTGTAAGAAGGGGGACATTGGTAGGGAAATGTACATCATCAAAGGAGGAAAACTGGCCGTAGTAGCAGATGATGGCGTTACCCAATTTGTGGTCCTAAGCGATGGGGCATACTTTGGAGAAATCAGCATCCTGGGTATCAAGGGCAGCAAAGCCGGAAACCGAAGAACAGCCAACATCCGCAGTGTGGGCTACTCAGATCTGTTTGCCCTGTCCAAAGACGACCTGATGGAGGCGCTCATTGAGTACCCGGATGCTAAGAACTTGCTGGAGGAGAAGGGAAAAGCCATTCTGATGAAGGATAATCTCATAGATGAGTCACTGGTCGCTGCTACTGATGCCAAAGACTTGGAGGACAAGGTCAACCGGGTGGAAGCCAGTGTGGAGATCATGTCAGCTAAATTTAGAAAAATGTCGGCCCAGTATGAATCGTCTCAGCGTAAACTGAAACAACGTCTCAGTAATATGTCCAACCAGGTCAGAACCCTCAGAGTAGACCACGAGTAGAGGCCTCCCCCATGATGCCGGTCTACTGTGGGACTCTTTACTCTGACCGATGACATGTCAGCAACAGCTGGACAGTGGCTGGTTCCTATACAGAATATTATGAGCAAATCATAAAAACAGATATTCCGACATTTCAATTCTTTACTGACTATCTACCAGCTGGTACCAAAATAGGCTAATGCTCAATTTCTGCTCAAAATCCTTAGCTCATCTCTCAAAAGTAAATATCTGTGTCACTGAACATGTCAGTGCCATCGGAGTGATAAGTCCTTGTGTACAGTCAAATTGCTTAGTCAGGTTGGCAGTTTACTAACAGTTTACTCTGGGGGTTCTATTCTGATGTAAACTATGGCTAAAGTTTTGATGACAGTTATTGTAAATTGTAAGTTACACCTTTGTTTATGTGGGAGATTGATGCTAGAGACTGGACCAGATTGACATTTAATTACTGTAATTTGTTGACAGCCTTTCATTGCAATACAGAAAGGAAAAGACTAAAAAACAAAAGTACAAATGTGAAATGTGGAAAGAATCTCTTGGAGTGTCTTATCCAACCTCATCACACGCTGCATCCATGGCAGCCAGAAGGGTCATCTGTGTGTGTGGCTGGCCATCATATACTTTACATCTGCAAGCTGAGGAAAATTTCTCAGTGGGGTTTAGGAATCAGGAATGTGTATTGCCATAGTCAGACATACAAGGAATTTGACATGCATTATCGAATGGGGAGTAGGTTGAGAGGAACTCCATCAGCATCCTGTTGTGGGTCGCAAACCATCGCCTGATGATGTTGGAGCGATGGAAAGTGACATTGTGCCAAACTATCACGTACTTTGGCAAGTCATCTCCATCTGTCCCTCCCTGGTTCAAGGATGAGATCCCTGTAGATTGTGTGTAAAAAGGTGACAAGATTATATGGCCCAATAATGTGTGCACAGAAATGACTTATCTTATCAGGAACACGCATATGTCCTCGACCTTTTCTGCTTCTTCCTGTTTTGCCTCCCAACTCCTCTTCCTCTTCTCACTGACTGTTGCCCCCGTCCAATTCTTTGTCCTTCCATTGTCAGACATTGTAACATTGTGTTGTGCTCAGGCTATATATACTTATACGGTATTTGATGGTTTACGAGATTCACAATCGTTAAAGAAATTCAAGATTCACCCAGGAGCAATTTACCAATTTAGGACAGATTTATAAAAAAAGTAATGTATAGAAATATGCTTGACATATTATGACAACTTGTTCAGCCATTTTGCATATAAAGACTTCTGGATGAACTAATGCCTAAATCTTGAGGGGGGTGAGACTATTCAACAGAGACCCATTACAATACATTTTGATCAACATGACAAAAGCAATCGACAATGTAGGAAACCGCAGAGAATTGTACATACTCATTTGCATGGTTGTACCAAATTATTTGCAACTTGTTCAAAGAAATTGAAGAAACTGCTTTTTTTTATGTTCCCAAGTGACACAATGATGTGAAGATTGAACAGGTAGTTTTGAGAATGTCAATTCTGATCGAAGAAATGTACCAAAGCAACTTTAGCTCAAGGACCTCTGACTACCTCTCAGCATACATCCTTCGTTCTAACCCTGTACTCCTCGCGGTCTGAAGGGAACAAGGGAAGGGTCCACCTGCTGTGCTTTGTCCAACGTGCCTTCTGTCGCATTTAGGGGCATTTTCGTTTGCACTACACGCCGATGGTTATGAAAATCAATACTGTTGACCTTTATCTAGTTATCTAGTCTTTGCACGTGTAACACGTCATACTTATCACAACCACTGGTTCTGGTTCTGAGGATAAAGCCTACAGATGGGTCACATGGTACAGCCTCACAGGTAACACTCTGAGCCTTGTTCCAGCCAGAGCTTAGGGAGATAAGTACATTTCTGGTTCCTGAAGTACACGTAGGACAGAAGCCATTCCGTGCTAAGCTACACAGACTGGGATCAACAATAACGAGCCCATCATGGGGACATTCAGGACCTGTTGACTCAAATCAGAGAGGAAGGAGACACCCGTTGGAAAAAAGCTGTCATCTTTATTTAGCATGTTTTCACAACACTGAATACTTACAGCCTTTCATCAGTATCTTTTTGTATCTTTTTGAATGCAACGTTTCAGTCGGACCAGTTGATGAAAACGGCTTTCCTTTCCAGGGTCAGGTTGACCTTTCACCTTTTAGCTCCACGTGGCTGTAAAGCCGTTTCACATGTTCACGTGAGCAGCATCAAAATGAAGACACAGAGTAATGTTAAATAGCTGAGAGTAGACCTGGGCTCAATAACTAGTCGTCCTTAACCTTTGTCTGAATAGATACATACAGGTTAATGCAGCAATACAACAACATCCAGGCGTTAATCAAACAAAACATACAGTATTCTGCAGTAACTCCACATCAGTCCATGCAGAGCCCGAAGGGCCTCTTGCATCACATACCCAGGTCTGACCATGAGGAAGTAAGAGCAACAGAACAGAGAATGGCTCGGGGTTAGTGTGTACTGCACTGTGGGTACCATCAGAATACACAGACCCCCTGCAGACACATTAGTGGGGCAGCAGGAAGTCAGTCCTTCTCCAAAGACGTTAAAGATCCTTGCCTGTCGGAAAGCTAGCTCCGGAGTCATGAACTTCTCATGGTAACACAGGGGTGTGTGATGAGAAAAGGTGACCTCTGGCGCCTAGTCCATGACCTTTGACCTCTTCCCACTGGATGCTGTGGGTAGTTCTAGACAGCAGATGAAGACTACCAATGTATGACCACTTGGTTCCCTCTGACTGAAGATCCATATGTAGTGATGACTCAGGAGCCTACTTCATGTACTCATTGGGACAATGGCATGTGGCTGAAAGCTCGGAGAGGCTTCACCATATAATTATATACCTAAAAAGGAGGGGAAACAGTTCACACAGCAACGTGCAGGGTTAACAAATATGTTTCTTCAAGTCCATCCCAACAATCTGAACCACTCATTTGGACGTTAACTAAAGCAAAGAGTCAAAGGGTGTGTGCATGTCTCTCATTACTCAACATGTTCTAATTCCTGCTATGCTTTGGGATTTGGGGGTGTATTTCTCACACTGGCCTCCACTTGGTATAACAATTTAGAAACATTCTAATGAATCACAATGAACATCCACCCCGGTGTTAAACTGCCACAGTTTGGAAGTACATTTTAGGTGAAGTGGCACTAAAATAATCCAACTCTTGGCTCCGCCTGGGTGATCCTCGTATGGCTACAGCTATTCTAATATAAAAATTAAAAGGTTGGCTGTGATGTAAGTCGTGTAGAAGACTCAGTTTCAAATAAGTGGTTTAACGGATTGAAGATGTGGGTCAGATGACTTTGATGGTGCTCGCCACTGATAGTCTGTGTGGACCAATTCCGTCAGAACCACAGTGGAAGAAGTTTGTACAGACTCTCACCCGTTTCTACTTGGCTCAGATAGATCCCAGTGATGTGTCCACACAGTACGGCTCGTAATGGTATCAATACACAGGTCAACTTGTGGAGCCGATCTCTTTGTTCAGATTGTGCTTAGACTACTATCCTCACCTGGCCCGCCGCCGGATCAGGCCTTGTGAACACACATACACACATCCTGGATGTAGATGACTACAGATGATCAGGTACCATCAACATATGGGGCTTGACCTATCAGCTATCTCAGAGCACATCAGCAGTGACTGGTCCACAGGTGTACACCCTCCCAAAGGTGTCGTAGCTCCAACCGCACAGATATATAAATATTGGTTTTATTTTGAATCGTCAACACAGGAAGACATGGAAATAAAATGCTTCAAAAAATTCCGGCAGCCTGTGGCCAAAAAAAAAAAAAACATTCTGAAAATGTCTAAGTGCACTTAACAGCTCTGAAAAGATTCACTCTAACCTGCGGTGACCCCTCACCCCCAGGAAAAAAGGCCCAAACACACAACAGCTATTTGAGAATGTGCCATTTTGGACCGGATCACAGGAAGTTAGTGAATGCCTCAGTTGAAGAAGGAGCCACTGGCTGTGAGTGGAATGGTGGGAACAGACAATATTAAAAAGTAAAGACTACTCTAGAACTACACTTCCTCTGAACGGCGCGTGAGCCAGATCTCAGGGCTACTTTAGGTTTGTATGGACTGGTTAGAGAATTGTTTAATATTAACCCCTCCTTTCCCTGCTGTCAAAACAGACAGGCACGAAAGAGAAGCCATTTGGGGCGTGAAATAAATAATATGGACATGATCCTCTCTGTTCATAGAAAAGATGGGACAGATATGATGTGTGTGTGTGGAGGTGATAGGGATGGGGGGGGGTCTCTGTGCTTACACTGACTGATGTGGGATGATGCAGGCACAGTAGAACAACTACTCGAGTGCTCTATTGGATCCATTACTCTGATAAAGGAAGGGTCCGACAGGCGGTCTGAGGACGAGTCCGCGTTGAGCCGGAGCTCAGAGCATACCAAACCCTTTGGCATAGGTGATGGCTTTCAGCAGTCTCTCCCTCAACTTCTCCATGTTGTTGTACTCAGGAAGCAGCAGCACATTAAAGCAAGTGTGAGATGTCGGTAACCTGCAAAGACAAAACAACACACAGCTGGTCAGACCTACGGGTGAAATAGGGACATCGAAGGACAAATATCTGATGTCGAAGCTGAGAAAAGAACACATCAGCAGAGACTTGTGGGTGAGCTCTTCTCCCTCTGGGGGCGGAGCTGAGATCCTCCAAAACCACCAGAATACCAGACACACGTGTTTGTGATGCTGCTGGAGACCCCTCTGCTGTCAGCACTAAAAATAAATGCTCCTGTCTTTTTTAACACATTTACTTGCATCAGCTGGGGAATCACTTACTTACTCTGTGGTTCTATCGAACCCTGATCCCCCTCACCTCCTCGGCCCTGCTGCTGGTATCATTGTGTGTGTGTGTGTGTGTGTGTATCTACCCATCACATGCCGATGTGTGGGATTTTGGGACAGTCAGGATGTTGCATGTGTACACAGTGTAAAGCCCTTAATAATTTTTATTCTCAATATTTGATTTCTGTCATATGAAGAACGTATTGTACATCTTTTATGTTGTTCATTCTGTAAACATGACATCTATCATCCTGATAGAGATCCTCCCCTGCTGCTGTATCTTTTTTTGGGGGGGTGTTTGTCCTGTGCAGCCCTCTGAGGCAAATTTGTAAGAAAATAAATTTAACTCCAGCTGCTTGGGCTATACCTATCAAAAATTGTACAGCAGCGTACAGATGTTGGCTGCAGCTGTATGCACACCACAGAGTAAGTTCCTCACTGGAGGAATGAAGTGATTTGGAGACCGCTTGTCTGCTCTAAGACCCGGTGTATGTAGATGACGGGCACATAGTGGCGGCCCACCTGTCGGTGTCAGGGCCGTTCTTGGCGATGATCATCTTCAACTTGCCCAGCCCCCCTACAGGTGCTCTGTCAGTGCCGGTGGTGAACTGCAGGAAGAGGCGCTTCTGCTCCTCACCAAACGAGTGCAGCGTCTCCCAGAACTCCCTGAATGACACCAAGAGAGAGCAGTGTCAGAATGTGAAGAGGCAAAGCAGAACATGAAATCAAAGCTTCCCCTGACCCAAACAGGAAGAGGATTTTCTATAAACACTACGACCAACTCAGCAAACATTTCTTACTTGATTATTCGAGAATCTCTGTTGTAACCTCCATCATATTCTGTTGTCTCCTCAAGAGCTAGAAAGTCCAGGTTCTGTAGCATGAGACAAAAACCAGAGAATACATACAGACATGGATGAAATTAAGGTTTGAAGCCCAAGACCCGACTGAAATGTGTGGTGACAAAGCTCACCCTGCTGCCACATATCAGCAGCTCAATCTCCTCTGGTCTGAACAGGTACTTGAGCGGAGACTCGTTGGTGACCATATGGAAGCCTCTCCTGAAAGCTTTGAACTGCTTCTCCACACTCTTGTTCAGCATGTACTCGGCATACTGAGCCACAAACTCCTGCACAGAGACACACCAGCATCACTTAGCACAGCTCCAGCTATCCCGAGACATTGTCGCTGATATCTGCCACAGCTCCTGCAGCCACTAGCCTGATACAATAGAAGAAAAACTAGTGAATAAGATACTAACAAGAAGCCTTTTGTTTTTTGCAAAAGCATGTACAGGGAACTTAAATGTCGTTGAGAACATAATTATGCAAACCTAGCTCAGGTAGACAGTAAATGCAGCTGGTTGTGAACATTCCAGAAACTGGACGCTAACATAAAGCGTTATGTTGTTGTGTTTTTTCTCTTAACCCATCTTTGACGTAGACCTGAAAGAATCCATGGAATATCGTACCATTGACCTGATTCTGATGGCCCTTTAATTTTCCATTGACCAAACAATAATAAAGCATATAAAACCCAATCAGAAGTCTTGCTAATGGCACAATAACTGCTTTGTGTCCTATGAAATCTAGTGTTAGAAAGTGTTGCAATAGATTCAAAAGGGCTTCTTGGCAACAGAAAAAAAGAAAAAACGGTTTGTGTCCCTTCCATCCGGCAAGAGGCTGAGGTCCATCAGGACCAGGACCTCATGCCACACAAACAAGTTTCACTGACTGACTATTTAAAACCCATTTGGACACTTTCAAATGCACTTGTGTAGTATTCCGTTGCCTGTGCACTTCAGTGTTTCCCCTTGGTTGATGAATGATTTCACTTATAACAGGTGGGAGGGTGCTGTTATAATTGTAGGCGAAACGCTGCACTTTTTAAAATTCTTTTGTATTCTATTTTTAGGTTACTTGTACATTATCAAGTTATTGTCCTTTCTTCAATGCCATGTATGCACCACCCACTATGAAAATTTCCTCGGATATGCCCAATATACTTGAGATATAAATAAATGTTTCTGATTCTGCTTTGTCTCACCTTTCTGTTTTCGTTTGTTACTGGAATCTTGTCCCCATTTTCCCTTAAATCATGCATTAGCGGGTTCCCAAACAGATCTGTCTCGGAGATCTGGAAAGTGATCATCATGTCGTCCTCCACGCTGCCCTCGTACTCCAGCAGCTCCTTCAAACTCTGGTACAGAACCTTCACAACACATAAACCATTTAGCTGAACTCATAAAGGGGAAAATAAGTCTCCTCAAACAAGAGATGCGTGTGTAGGAAATGTGTGGGTGAGATTACCGGGTTGGCATCAGCCAAGTCTCTGAAAGTTCCCTTCTTGCCCATCAGTTTCCTGTAGACCACCATGGGGAAGTGGACGTCCAGGATGCAGTTATTGTAGATTGCCAGACCGAGAACGATGCCGATCAGAGTGTACTGGCCTTCGTTTTCAAGCGATGAAGGGTTGAACCAGAACAACTTGGTGCGCTCATCGTATGTGAACATGCCTGCAAGAGGACAATGAGGACACAAAGACATGCTTGATGCTTTGGCGGATCACATCCTCTAGGGACGCTCAACATAGTACAAATGAGAACTCATAAGGATAAGCATTAGGATAGCAAGTTAGGTAAACTACAACAAGCTTTTACAGGATGACTGAAATGTCAACAATAGACAAGCGCATCCAGGAAAGCGGTTTCTAAAATGTACTGTTACTGTTTTGGGGTGAAATGACACGTGGAGTGTCCCCTTGACAACAACAAACCTGAGCCATACACTACAGAGCTTAACTACCACATGTCATCAGGCTTTGTCTGGAAGCAGAGGCTGGCCGCAGTTACATCTGCTCACTCAGGGAATGGCTACTTGTGCTGCCTTACCAATATCCGGGTTGAAGATCTCCTCCACCACCAGCTGGAAGAATTCTTTGGAGACACCTCCTTCATCAACGCCTTGCTCTCCTTCAAACTCAACATACAGCTGCTTTTTTAAGTCTGCAGGGTTTTCCATAGCGATCATCTCCAGCTGAAGAGACACAAGAGAAGTACGTCAGTGCAATGTGCACCAACAGCATCACGCGATGTAGAGAAGCGAGCCACACGTACCCTGACCAGAGCATCGTCAATGATATGGTCTCGCCTCACTTTGAGCCTCAGGTACGGATTGAGCTGCTGACCCTGCACCAGACTGTAGAGCACCGTAATACGCCGCTCGCTGTACATGCGGATGCGGTTGTCATAGTACAGACCCAGGTTCTTGGTGACGGCATTGAGGATGAAGGGGCAGGTCATAAAGGAGAACTTGTTTTCTGTTTCAACCTTAAAGAAGGTGTAGTCCTTGTCCATCTCCAGCACCTCATTCAAAGGTTCATTGACAAACTCCTCAAAGGCAATGAGCGGCCGTCTGCAATCGTTGGTGCGGATGCCCAGCTCCGTCTCCAGCGGGTCCACCCGAGGCCCCTTCTTGTTCCGCCGTTCCTCCCCGAGCAGCTCCTGCAGGGTGAGCTCACTAGACTCCGGGAGGGGCTCCTCGTCCTCATCCTCGTTGTGCTCCGTGTCGAGGTCGCCGCCCAGCACGTTTGCATAGTAGACGATCTTCAAGCACTTGGTGCTTGCCACCACAGCGTCGTCATCATTGACCAGGTTGCGGCTGTTGAACTCGTTGCTGATCACCTTGTAGGTAATGAGCTGCTGAAAGGTCTCCACCATGCGCCGGATTTGCTCCGTGCTGTAGTGCGACCACAAGCGCGCCAGTTTGGCCAGAGCGGCCAGTGGGAGTTTGCTCATGGCCTTGCAGAACTGTGGGAGGGCGATCTCCAGGTACTCTGGGCTGTGGAGGTTGCTGTTTTCCATCACTATAACAAATAGATTCAGGTAGTTTGGGTCACGTGAATACACGTTGTGGGTATGTCAGATCGCACTCTACGTTGGGTGAGAGATAGACAAGCGCATTCAGGAAGGCGGCTTCTATTTTCTCATTGGAAAGCAGGCGCTCGTAGACCCGCCGCACAGCTTCGATGTCCACGGACACCTCATCAGGGCCCAGCTTTTGGACATCATTGTCCCCCGAGGAGCCCTCTCCGAGCCTAGATGATGAAGAGGAGGCGGGGGAGTCCTCCTCCATAGCTGTTGCAGAACAGGCGGCGGACTCCTTCTCATCCTCATCCTTGTCCTCATCCTTACCTTGGAGGGACTTAAGTTCCTCTTTAGTGTGAGGTTTGGACCTCCGGAAGCTCTGGACCAGCCCCTCGGCACTGGAGAACACCCGACCTAATACCCTGATAAGAGGGGAGTAGTCTTCCTTTTCTCCGCAGATGTTCAAGATCTCGTAAACTTTTTCCTCTGTCAGGTAATTTACATCTATGTTTAGGGTCAAACATAACATGGTTAGAATTAATAGCGAAACTGATTGTCATAAACTGAATGGCAATCCTCCTGTGTGAGAGTGTGGCATCTACTTACCTTTAAAATTGTCCCGCACAGAGTGGACATCTTTATGGTTCAACTTCCTGTTGCTACAGGCCGAGTTGCTGTGAGCGCTGCTTTCCAGGTGGGCGGAGGCTGTGACTTTCTTTGAGGGGTGGGGGTCACATAGCTTGGCGTTGAGCTTGTAGAGCTCCAGGGCTTTGACAGCCGCTGCGTTGTTATCCATGCGGGTGAAGCCAGCTGAAGAGGCACACCATGAGTTGGAGCAGGACTCATTCCCACAGCCCTCGGTTAACTGGTGGTAGTACCGCTCTATTAGATGTTTGGCAGCTGCTCGCTTCCTGTGTTCAGGGGGAAGAAGCGTCGAAGCAGGGCGTGATTCTTCGATGGCGGATCAATGGCAAAGACAATGATTACCATGTTTACGGCTTAACCATCAATTTTCATTTCATTTCACTACACAAGATAGTTTTAGGTCTACAACTTGCACACTGATGAATACACCACCACCCCATTAAACTTGGCTTTCATTTGTTTCAACTATTGAGCTTCTCAAGCGCTTTCATGTTATGAAAAGCTGGGTCGTAAATAAAGAGGTGGTTTTCAACGATGGCGACATGAAGACATTATTTAAGTCGAAAACTAGTAAAAACAATCTCCCACAGGAGAAGAATACAATTGTCCAAGAAGGCATTAACATAAATGTTTGGTAGATTGTTGTTCGTTGATAACATTGTTGAGCGATCAACCATCTCGGTGCTGATAAAGACCATTTAGTTTGCTCTTGGAATGATTTGATCGATCAGCTGAGGGGAGCATTGAACCAGGATCCACTTTGAAGAACATATGAAAACTTCTTGATTTTAGAACTCCAGTGTCGCCTATGAGCATGTAACATGGTACTTACACAAAAACAGTAGTGGCCTGAGTCTTCAATCCATACAAACACACACTAATGTAATTACACGTGCACACAAGGGTAGCATGGATGGGACTTACATTCGGCTTGCTTCTGGGTTTTCTATTTCAGGCTCCACGTATTCTCTAGTCGAACAACAGACAACAACGATCAGAAATCCAGCAGAGGTCACGCAAATCTGCATCACAATAAATGCTGTCGATGGTTCATAATTTAACGTATTGTCATTTAACAGTTACTTATCACGTTCAGTCATGAGTAACCTCAGGAAAGGATGAGAAAGGGACACGCTAGCTAAGCACGTTGGAATCGGTGTGTGGAAAGTCTGTCATAGCGAATACACGTTGGCACCGTAACCGATTTAATCTAGTTCAATCTTAGATTGGACAAGTCTATTGAGTAAAGGGGAAACACGGGGCGCTGCAGATCCTGACGCTAATTTAGCGAGCTAAGTTAATGTAGCTAAAGGTAGCTAGCAAGCTGTCCTTATTTCAAACATTCATGCTGAGCTGTCGCGTCTCAAACAATCTTACTCTTTTTAATAAACCAATACCGACTACGAACTGTGCCTCATTATGCCACTAATAGCACCCATAGAGCTAGTAGTTAGCTAGCTTTCAGTAGTAGCGTGCCTGCTAGCATCCCCGGAAACCCCGACTGTTTCCTGTGTATGTCCCCACCTATTAGGTCCTCCTGCGGGGCTAGTCTCGGCCTGTGGTGGAGCACACTCACAGTCCTCTTTCTCCTCGGAATTCATACGAGACTTTATCCTCTGTTGTTCGTGTTTCTGTTGCTTTCTGTGCTTGTATCCAGTCCTCCACTGATTGATTACTACTTTAAAAGTCCGAACTGGCAGCGGCGGCGTGTGATTTATTCAAAACTTCATTTACGGCCTTCCTACTGCAGGCTCTTTGCTCTGCCTGAGGTTCACGGCCATCTTGACTTCACCGTTAACCTACGTCCCACAATGCACTGCGTTCTAGGGCGCGTAGCGGACGTGCTGGACTGGATCACATGCTGCGAGGATCTGGACTCTCGTGTGACTGCACTCGTGTGGAACCCTGGGGAGTGTGTGTTGCACTGTATTGTTATTTATTATATTTGGATCTGTAGCTGGAAGAAGCAGTAAAAACGAGAAGAGAGCCTCTATTGATTAGAGGCTCTCTTCATGAAGAAGATAAACTGGTGTTATCCGTTTAGTCAGAATGTAGCATTTCCACACAGGCCGTCTGCTACGAAAATAAACTGAACTCCGAAGGTCTACTGGATGCAAAGTACATATTTATTTGGTTTTATTCAGATAAAACTGTGACATATGAGAATCAGAATCAGAATCAGCATATTGGAATTTTACGCTGGTCTACAGTCTCAACATACACAGTACATACAAATAAACTAGAACATATTAAATATGACAAACATTTTGAACAAATGTAAGCATAAACATTTAACTAATAAATCAATATTAGTATAATTATATATATAAAAGTATGTATAAGTGTAACGTAAACTGTTCCCCAAAGACAACAAGTGAAGAGTGCAAATGGGGGGTGCCGTCTGTCTGAGTGGTCACACCGCTGAGTGTTGGCAATTCTGGACATGGTGAGGGATATGGTGAGAGACAGGGTGGGCGACATGGTGAAAAACAGTGAGAAACGCTGGCATGACATGGTGAGGGGCACGATAAGAGACATGGGGAGGGATATAAGGAGAGACATAGTGAGAGACATGTTGAGAGACATTCATCATAAAGTAAGGTCCATTGGAGTGTGAAGGTTGCAGGTAAATGCACAATGGAAGGAAATGGTAACCTTCACCTCGACACCAAATCATTATTTTACCAAATAAATTGATTAAAAAATGTTTTCTGCATGCCTGCGAATTTGCCCGCGCGACCCCATATAAGTTATTATAGTCTGCGCGGAGTGATATAAAAGCGGTCCTACGCAATAAATGCGTGCGGCGGGTTACACGCGAGGGTTCTCACATTGATTTAACGGCAGACTGGTTCGCGTGCACTCATTTTGCTCACGAGCCTCTACTAAGCTGCATTCCAGTAGAGAAGCATTTGATACGGTATGTGTGAAAGTTAGCTCTAATGTATTGATTTCACACCGAACAGATTTGATATTTTGTCTATTTCTTAATGTTTTTTGAAGCTATGTTTGTTGACTTGCCAAGCGTAGTCAAGTTAGCTGACTTACCTGACTTGACCTCCTGCCTTAACTAATGTTCCCTTATTTAGCTGACTTCGTAGCCTTACTTGGCTAGCACCCTAACGTTCATTCAACGAAGTTAACGTAGTTAGTTTGGTTACCTCGCCGCCTGATTTGGCTTACCCTACCCCATCGAACTAATGTTAACGTTAGCTAATTTAGCTAACCGGTTGCATGACTCAGCCATCCGACTTAGCTAGCGCCACGCCCTAGCTACACGCGGATAAACGTGTGCACATGGCCGTCACCTTCATAACTCCTGTCAAGTCAGCTCTTTCTCATACTATTGAGTAGTAACGTTAGGGACTTATTTTGGCTGTAGGCTCCTTCCCGTTCTACATTAAAATTAAGCTAGTCGGAGGTTGTTTAGCTAGGTCACTTATCTAAGCTAGCAGAGGATTGTGTAACGTTAGCTATGACTACCATACTTCTTTCTTGATTTAATTGGTCAGAATGGCTATCCTAAGCTTTAACACAATAAGTGTTGCTGTGCTGCATTTATCAAACTGACCTTACTGCTGGGGAAGGACATGAAATCATGTAAAAGTTAAGACTATCAAATATATTTCCCTTAAAGTACATGCGATTTGTCCTACATTTATTTATGTATTTAAACTCAAGTTTGTCCCATCAATTGAAATCATTCGTTTAAAGCCGCCCTAACGTTTCAGCTGAGTAGCTAAATGTTGACCATGTGTTTGAATATTTCAGGTGAACAATGATGGACGAGTGGGATGAAGCGGTAAGTGATATTCCAATTTGGTTATGTTGCCAGGTGGTTAACGCCTCATTGAATATGTTAATCTTTACAGGAAACTACTGCTAGTACCAATGCAGCAACCAGTCACACCTCCAGTGATGGTATGTTCACAGCTCACTAGTATTCATTAGTAGTTTGCTTTTACGGAGTTGCCCATCCATGTCCGACATGTGACATTTCTTGTGCTTAAGTGTGTTGAAATAATCTTTCAAATGCAGGTACGTGTTATAAGTCACCCACCCTGTTTTAGATCGTTTATTATTTGGACATGATCCCCTTTAGGAGGCCTGTGGAACAAAGAGATTGGCGACTTTGGAAGAGGTAAGTATGGAAAGTCAAACGATTATCCCCTTTGCTCTACAGAACATTGGTCAAAAATATCTAATTTCTTTCTCTCCAGGTCGTGGTGGAAGAGGCAGACAAGGAGGATTTCAAAACTCATTTTCAGGTTTATTCATATATTTTCATCTTGAGCAATCTCATACAATTGGTGGTAGCATCAATTTACAAGTTAGGTCAAGTAAATTAATCTGAACTCTAGTAAAAGTGCTCTTAAAATAGCAGTGTGTATTTGGGGGTAGGAATAGCATAGAATGAGACCTTCATATCTACACATGTAGCTGGTCCTTTTCATGGTTCTCAATGTTGCACGCTATGTTTGTACAGATGCTCAGAATGTGGGCACCAGGTGCAAAACGGTTACTGCCTGCTGCACAAAGGATGGGGTCTGAGTGAGGGGTAGGGTGTTACAGCTTTGCTTAAAGCTCATGTTACTGCACTTGTGGTATGAGGGTTGAGCAGAGGTTTATTTGGTTAGTTGCCATTTCAAACAGCACCACTAGATGTCACTGAACTACACTTGTACACAGTGGACCAGTTCTACACTGTGTAGTAGGGCTGTAAAAATTGCTCAAAAAGGACGTTTGAATCTTTGCTTTAAAAAAAGACAGATATTCGAACATCTTGTTGCGCATTAGATGCGTCAATAACAGGACAAATTTATACAAGACATAACTACTTGTAGAAGTAATTTAAGTTTAAACCCATTTAACAACATATTACCTGCACAAAAATAAGTAAACTAATGGCCACGACCGCAGATCTCTTGCTTCGCGCACACAACGACAACAATAAACAAATGCTGATCAAGAGTTTTGTCCAAGCAATTTAAGGTCGCGCTTCGTGTCCCAAATATGTCAGGCTTCATTCAGTGATTGAAACTGAAAGGTTTACAGTACCGACATTGAACTCCGAGCGAGCTGTGCTGCAAACACGGAACTTTTCATTGGCATGAAATTGCAAATAATCAAAGCAGTGCATGAAGCTGTTGTAGCCTATTTTATTCATGCAATATACAGTCGGTCAGGTGCCCGCCCGCTAAGCAGAGCAGACAGTCGCACCGCCGTTTAAAGAATTTTATTTATTTTTTTACATTCGAATATTCATTTTCACATTCTAATAGTTGTTGAAAACAACGATTATACGAATATTCATTGACGGCCCTACTGTGTAGAAGCAGTGTTTCTGCTACCAGCCAATAGGAACTAGTGTTTGATGGCAAGGACTTGGGTTTCTTGAGAGCTGGACTAGGAGTATAATGTGACGCTTGGATTATGTTTAACTATGGGCGTCGCAAAATGATCTAATGTAATTGTGCTTCTCATTTTGTAGGTGGTGAAGAGACTACGAATGGTAAGCTCTTGTAGTATTATGCTAACTATTGTCAGTACCTCAGTCCTTGGTGCTACGGACAATCGATTTGGTTATTTATAGATGGGAACAGCTGGAACAGTAGAGCTGGAGAAAGCGGTGCTTCCAGGGGCAGATCCAGAGGCAGAGGTGAGACATGAACACTCATTCACACAGACCAATTTATTGGTCAACTTCAAATTTGACTGTAAAAAAAAAAAAAAAAACTGACCGGGGTTGTGAGTAAATGTTCAAATACCTGATTGATATTTTGTGAGGTAATGTCTTATGCTATTGGGACTACATAGGGGGATTTAAAGTGTATCAGTTGATCTAGTTGGATGTGTTCAACCGCATTACAGCATCTTCTACAGATGCTGTGTTTTTTTGGGTGTAAAAATATGTTCACGGTAATGTTATTGTGAGACCATTGGAATAAAGTGTAGTCTGAGTGAATCCTTTCTAAAACCATAAACTGATTTAAATTCACAGATGACAGAGTTCATGAGTACGGTAAGTGTTCTTAAACTAAAACAGTCTAAAACGTTTTACAAAAATTCTTTATTTCATCAAATGTTTGTTCTGAGCAGGGTTTAGAGGAGGAAGAGGCGGCGGAGAAGGTTTCAGACGAGGTATAAGTGAACTGGGGCAGCTTTTGCATGAAGTTAGTGTTCTGAAATTAATGGCTATTTATCAATGTGTTTAAGGTGGTGGTGGTGACGGTGACCAGGGTGCAAGAGGCGCCTTTAGAGGAGGTAATGATGACCCTCCTAACTGTTTGGGATTGTTAACCCTTCAGTTATTGTTTGGTGTTAGTAAATGTCCTGTGTCTGTTTGCAGGCTACCGTGGGAGAGATGAGGAGATCTTAACACATGGTTGTACTGCGTTGTACTACTGATTTTTTTAGGGTTGCATAGGGGTGGAAACCTTCCATTGGAAGTTGCGCTTCGGATTATTATTTTTTAATAGCAGGGAACTTTAATGTAGTTGAACAAAACTAGGAAAGCTTTTCTAGAATATTCCCGTTAATTCCCACATAAATTTTCCAACAGTTCCACTTGATCTGAAACCTTTTACTGATGGCTTGTGTCTAACAGGGGGAGCTGACGAATCAGAAAAGAGGGATGACACGGATGGTGAAAGTAAGTTGAACTGTTGAGTGTGGATCAATTCCTGTCCTCCTGTAGGATTAAGCTTGGGCCACTTGTGACCTGCAGGACCAAAGGTCACTTATGTCCCCCCAACACTCCCTGAAGATGAAGACTCCATCTTTGCCCACTATGAGAAAGGCATCAACTTTGACAAGTATGATGACATTCTGGTGGACGTCAGTGGATCCAACCCACCGCAGGCTATCATGGTAACTAGCGCTGCAGTAAATAGTTAACGCATGAATTGGCTGATAAGCAGTTGCTGCAGTTTACATCAGGACATCATGTTAAGAGCTGATACCTTAAATAAGATTTAACGCAAATATGAGAAACTTCCTTCAGACTTTTGAAGAGGCAGCGTTATGCGGGACCCTGAGAAAAAATGTCAACAAGTCTGGTTACATCAAGCCGACCCCGGTGCAGAAACATGGCATCCCAATTATCTCTGCTGGCAGAGACCTCATGGCTTGTGCCCAGACTGGGTCTGGTAAAACGGTGAGTTAAAGGGTACAAGTAGGGGGGCGGTTCCATGCGGACCGGCAGAGTCTAGACATGCAGCAACCCACGGCTGCTGATGGAAATCTTAGAATTGAGTGGTTGTATTGTCCCCCCTCCAGGCTGCCTTCCTGCTCCCTATTTTGCAGCAGCTAATGGCCAATGGCACTGCAGCCAGCTCATTCAGTGAGCAGCAGGAGCCTGACGCCATCATTGTGGCCCCAACAAGGGAGCTCATCAACCAAATCTACCTGGAGGCCAGGAAGTTTGCCTTTGGGTATGTTTCAAAGCGATTCATTATCCCTTTTAATCATTACATATTACCCGGTAGAAGTGTAGACCACCATGATTTGGTTAATTGAAAAGCAGCTTGTTGCTAGATTCGGCAACTTTTTTTTTTCTTTTTTTAAACTGCACCCAGCAAACAAAATTTAGCTATTCAAAAAGATACGGCTGTAAAAGTGCATTGTAAGTAACAGCAGTCACTCAGTCAGTGCACAAAACCCTGGAGACAGCTGGATAGAGATTCACATCATAGCATATATATACCGTATTAGCTTGTACCGAATTGTTGAATAGTTTGGCAGTATGTTAACTAATTACTAAGAGACAGCCTAAAATATTGTTCAGAATGTGTAGGTTTACTAGTTAATAAGAAAATAAATAATGGTTCAATAATATTTAACGTGTAATGATTGTTCAATAATAGGTTGTGCTTCAAATATCTGATCATATAATATGTGTATTCTAAACTATATAAATATGTGATAATGAACAAACTAATGTATAATCATCTTTTTGCAAAGATGGACAGTAAATTTCAGTAATGTTGTTGTGTATTCTATGTAATGACTGTTATGCGTAAGGACTTTGCGTCTTTGTTGCTAGAGGCAGGTCAATTTTGTTATTGTCATTTAGCAACAAATTGACCTTCCTCTAGCCGCTTAATTAGTAGGCAACGCTATATCACGCATGCTATGACTGGCTGCTTATTCAACAGCCACACAATCTCCAGGATTGAGGTGTGCGTGGATGAAACCTAAAGTACCTTTTATCCTGCTCAATTTAGCTGTAAATTATTTCCTATCTTTGTCAGTATGTCTAAACATTTAACGCTCTAATCTGGGTCCTCTGACTGTTGCAGGACATGTGTGCGCCCAGTAGTGGTCTATGGTGGAGTCAGCACTGGGCACCAAATAAGAGACCTCTTAAAAGGGTGCAATGTGCTGTGTGGAACACCGGGTAGACTGATGGACGTAATAGGAAAAGGAAAGGTAATTGCATTCAGTATGTTCAGTATCATAGCCTTTATGTGAAGGCTTGCTCTGTATGACCCGGTTACTGTTGGTGCTCCAGGTCGGGTTGGCCAAGCTGCGGTACTTGGTGATGGACGAGGCTGACCGGATGTTGGATATGGGATTTGAGCCTGAAATGCGTCGCTTGGTGGGCTCCCCTGGAATGCCGTCCAGAGAGAATCGGCAGACTCTTATGTTCAGTGCCACCTACCCTGAGGACATTCAACGGTCTGCTCCTCATCAGCTCCATCTTGTCCTGTTTTAGTGAGCTTGTATGAACGTGAAAGTGTTTTTTGCAGGTTGGCGGCTGACTTCCTCAAGACTGATTATTTGTTCTTGGCTGTGGGTGTGGTGGGCGGAGCATGCAGTGACGTTGAGCAAACGTTTATTCAAGTCACAAAGTTCTCAAAGAGGGAACAACTCCTTGACCTTCTCAAGACCACAGGTACAAGTTGTATCACAATTTCTCCATCAATATATGTGTATATACATGGTTGAAAGGTGGCATTTCTTTAGAACGTTGTGGAGCTTTTAAACACTGAACTCTTCCAAACTGATGTGTGACCTCACGGCAATGTTTTGCATGGTGTGTGCAGGGACGGCGCGCACCATGGTCTTTGTGGGGACCAAGAGACAAGCGGATTTCATTGCCACTTACTTATGCCAGGAGAAAGTCCTAACCACCAGCATCCATGGGTAGGTCCAGTGGTAAACATCAGTAACATTTACGTCTGAATGTGTTTAGCATCGCGTTCTCATAGGGACCGTGAGCAGCGAGAGCGAGAACAGGCTCTGGCAGACTTCCGCATTGGAAAATGTCACGTCTTGGTGGCAACCTCCGTAGCAGCCCGTGGACTGGACATTCCAGATGTGCAGCATGTGGTGAACTTTGACCTCCCCAACAACATTGACGAATACGTCCACCGCATTGGGCGAACTGGCCGCTGTGGGAACACTGGGAGGGCTGTGTCATTCTATGATCCTTGTGCTGACAACCAGTTGGCCCGCTCCCTCGTCACAATCCTCTCTAAGGTAATGAACCCACGTTGGTACTGCCCAATGATGCGTCAGTATTGGCCTTCATTGTTTCCTCATGTTTGTGGACTGTAATTGACAGGCCCAGCAGGAAGTGCCCTCCTGGCTAGAGGAGTCTGCCTTCAGCGGCACTGGAAGCGGTAGCTTCCAGCCGCCCAGGGAGCGCTTTGCCTCCACAGACTCCAGGAAGGTAAATGGATCAAACCTGTTAGTGACATCAGTGTTGCTGTTTGTCGTCTGACCGTGTCCTGTCTGTCTGCCCTCAGGGAGGGTCTTTCAAGGATATGGCTGCATGGAGCCAGCCGGCTGCCCTGGGTGTAAATGATGAAGATGATGCCTGGGAATAAAGAGCGATGATGGAGTGGCACACACACTCAACTCAACCAACCTAAGTTCTTTTACTGTTCAGGTGTTCAGTCTGTTGTAGTTTTATCACATTTCTTTTGAGATGCTGGACCCTTATGTATGATGGCTCTTCAGTGACTGTTTTATTTTTTTTTAAATCCTCTTCTAGCTAACATGGTTAAGGAAACGTGTGTTTATCCAAACTTTGAGGTCATATTTCAACAATATTTTCTTATTGGGTTAAAGACTATTAAATACATTGTTCAAAGCATACTGTTGTCCAGTGTTACTTTTAATCATCAAATCTTGATTGTTCTTTGGCCTTAAGTTCTTTCCAGGTCCACGGTGTGATTTAAAACAATGATTAGGTTTCTGTATTTTGAATTTAACAAAAAGCTAAATGTATTACTATGGCTGCTGTTATTGACATCCACATATCCCCTACAATAATTACTTTATCCATTCTAAGGACTAAACCTCATAGAACTTCTAAGATTAAGATATCAATTCTGAATAAGGACTTGGGGCTCTGTACACTACAACAGGGAACCGGCTGTGTTTTCCAAGTGGGGTGTGAAGAATTCAGCCCCAGGCTTTCAAATGAGTTATGATCTGGTTTAGTGTTTATTCTTAAATGGCTAAACTATGGCTGCTACTCTGCCTGTGCCTCGGAATATGAGTGACATGAATTTGAGTTTCTGCATCTAAACATTCTCCATTCGACAGCCAGTTTTCAGGAAAAAAATAGATAAACCTGGTGATCTGGGGGGTATTCCAGAAAGGAGGTTCAACAAACTAAGTCTATCCCTGAACCCCTGAGATGGGAAACTGCGTATCCGGTTCCAGAACAGCTGATCTGCGTTAGTTCAATCAACTCTGAGTATGTTAACCAGCGCGTGCATGACGATTATAAAAAGCCATCAATGGAGCCCCAAACTTTTGTGTGTGTGTGTATGTATGTATATATATAGCCTACTTTTTAATTAATATACTGTATATCCAACAGTTGTGGATGGTGTCATCTGCACAGCTGTAAACCCTGCAGATACTCAGATCTTGCCTCAGATGGTAGTTAAAAGTATTCAGAAACATCTTTTCCTGCATCACAGAAGGATGATAAGGAAACCCTGTTTGCTGCCACAGGGAGAGATCCGGAGGGGCCTACTGAAGTGTGTCTTAATATTATCTACTGGCAGTGCTCTGCCCATTCACATTCTAGAGTGGAGTTTGACATGTAGACTGAAGTGATGAGCGTAGATAATGGATAACTAGCACATTCTTGTCCTTGAACAGAACATGGTTGGGCATCACCAGGAGGAGGGTCCATCAACGTCCACAGCACAGCTTAAAACAGATTTTCAGTCAATATCTTGTTAAATCTGTATGTGTAACTGTAGGAATTAAATGTCGGTCATATGTTAGTTACCAGTAAAGCGGTAGCGTTCTAACAGAAATTCCCCTGGAAATGATAAAACATCTAATCTGGGTCGGAAGACACTCTCGCGATGTAAAGCATTTCGAATCACGACGGCTTCGATGTCAATTGGATTTGGTAGGAATGGGAAATTCATTTCTACCAGGTTTCTTCATGTGGGAGGAGACCGGTAGAAACTCTGGGTTTCTTATAGTAAACCTGCCAGCGAGCAGGTTATGTTTACAGAGTCTGTTACCATGGTGATTGACTCAGAGTTTCAGTTACCTCTCTATCTGGAACGGATAACTCAGAGTTTCCCTGATCTCAGGGTTAACTTACTCTGAGTTTTCACATAACCCGCTTTCTGGAATACCCCCCTGATAATTTACTAAAGGCCGCATCAAGCTGAAGGGGAGAATCATGTACTTTTGCTTACAGTACATGGTCTATCCATCCATCCATTGTCAAACCGCTTATCCTGCACGCAGGGTCGCGGGGGGGCTGGAGTCCATCCCAGCCAACTTCGGGCGATAGACAGGGTACATCCTGGATGGTCACCAGCCAATCGCAGGGCTACACAGAGACATACAACCATTCACACTCACATTCACACATCTACGGGCAATTTAAAGTCCCCAATTGACCTGATCCCCAGAGCATGTCTTTGGACTGTGGGAGGAAGCCGGAGAACCCGGAGAGAACCCACGCAGACACAGGGAGAACATGCAGACTCCACACAGAAAGGCCTCTGGGCGGAATCGAACCCAGGACCTTCTTGCTGTGAGGCGACAGTGCTAACCACCACGCCACCGTGCCGCCCGTACATGGTCTAACCAATATGAATTTAATTTAAAATAACTGTTTTGCCTCTTCGTCCTGACATGCACATTTCGGTCACAGGAAATTCGTTCCATCAGGTGGAATGATTACAGGAGAAACCTACAATAAATATACTTCCTGGTCCTGTGGCAAGGTAGTGTCAATGCCCAACATAACAATGAATTTAAAAGCAAAATATTTTATAATCTGGATCACCAACCTACAGTTTTAAATAGTCATCAATAAATGCAACATGACTGATTCAAAGTGGTCTCATATCTTAAGATTTGCATCTGAAAGGTGTGTGGTCAAGGTAAATCAAACTGCCGGTGTACCACTTAAAAGGCCAGTGGGGAAAAAAACAGGATCGAAATTTATAAGCGTTTAATTTCGGAACCAATTGCTGCCAACTCCCGAATGCCTTGTTCTCCGATCTACCACACCAGGTTTTAATAGAGACGCACAAGACATCTGCTAAAAAGCCAAATCAAAACTCCATACAAATCAGAGCTCACAGTAATACATTAGTTAAAAACATCAAGATCAAAATATGTAAGATGGGATGTTAATGTGTGGGGTCTATCGATTGCACTTGTTTACTTGGTGCACTGTGTGCAAACAAATTGGTCTACTTGTTGAGTATTCGCATTGTTTACAAATGAATAGTGTTACTCCAATAACTACAGAGCTCTCAACTTTTAAAAAAACCTTGGAGTGAGATTTTGTCGGGGGTGACCATATGGCCGACGGGGAGGTTGAAGAGGAACCAACGCGGCTCGGACCGAAGTCTGCGAGCGTGAGAAGTTGATTGTGTGGCGACTAAAGTGCGTGACTAAAGACCGAAATGAGTGACTCTCACGCTCAATGCGTGACTCTTGAGAGCCCTGTAACTACATGCGTATGGAACATAAGCTTTACTTTATTGGACACTCTCTAGCGAGAGAGTAGAGAGCGTGTTTTAGCGTTCTATGGTCTCTATAGAAACGGTTTTGTTTCCGGGTCCTGCAGCCACGCCCTTCACTCTCACCATCGATCTGATTGGTCGGCTCCGGGTTGTCTGTTTCAAACCACCGGAAGAGGCACAACTATTCCACAGACGTGAAATAAGGACGTAGGAATCTACTCTCTGTTCGACAAAAGGGTTAAACAGCTGAGCTCAGCATGAAAGGAACCGCCAAAAGCAAGGTAAGACCACAGGGCCCGGGTCTAGCCGAGACCACATCCGAGTCCCGGTCTCTGCTCTGTAAGTTAGCGTCGGACGCGAAGATACGTGCATTGTCATCTCAATAAAACCATGGCTTCCTGTCCCAGTGCCGTGACGTCACCGTGAGGGAGCCTTATTTGTGCTGCTGCATAGTAAAGAGAAAAATGCTTCAACGACTTAAACCAAAGGGACATGTTTAACGTTAAGTTCACGTTATTATTCAAATGTTGATGTACAAGCGAGGTACGGGTTACAATGAATATAAGCAATGTGAATGAGCCATAGCAGCAAAATATTAGATATTCGATAGATTCATTTCCAGATGTGAGAAGTACCATTGCTGCCACAGCTTCAGGACTAATGGGTAGATGTAGTAATGATGTAGTCATGCTTTGGTGTCCTGTGACCTGCAGGTGTTGACATCAGGGAGACTGACAGGAGGAGTCAGAGGACAGATCTACAGGAGACGGTAAGTCCACTGGCCTTTATTCTCCTCACTGCTACATCAACTAAATTACTGCCCCATTCTCACTCTGGGTATTTACCTGTGGTGACAGAGGGACTCCTGATCCAGGAGCGGCCGCCTGTCCTGAACCGGCCTACTCTCTGTACTCCACATCCACAGAGTCTGAAGAACAGGTAATCAAGTGAATTGTATTTCAATCCGCACTGAAGATATTTAGAGCATGATGATGACGATGGACCGCAAAAGAGGCTTTCAGAATGATTCAGCTCAAGATCAGAGATGATATCATCTGTATTATGTCATCTCTCAGCTCCGCACCAATACATACATGTTGTATTCTACAGCATATAGCTGCATACTTCCACGACTTCCATTCACACACTATTCAGCATAATATAGTAACCGCACACACACACACAAACAACTTAACTGTCAAGTCTCTAGAGGCCTGAAGTTAGACATTAATTGCCTCAGCAGGATTGTGATTATGAAATAAAATAAATAAATAAAAGCAAAATGAAATATATTGGTCTGAAATTAGCTCTGTGTGAAACAATGCGCTGGTACATCAAGGCCCAAATATGTGAGATTAGACCACAACACCAGCAACGGGAGGAGAGCCTCATGGTCCTCAGGCCCACAGCTGGCGGGGTCAAAGGTCAGCATCATGTGTTGTAATTTCGTTCTGTGTCCTCAGGTCTCTTCTCTCCACAAGGGTCTGGACCGCTGTGCTGCCTTGATCACTAACATCCTCCAGGTGGAGAAGGCAGGTCAGTAGACGAGAAGAGAGCAGAGAGAAAGGTTTCAAACAATCTGGGGAAGTCAACTTTTCACCAACAGCTTGTAGTAATGAGACAGAGCGAGAGGGGAGGGAAAATAACACAAGGCTTAGTTTGTTTGTTTAATTTAAGAAGATAAAGCTGTTCTACAGGAACGGTAACGTGTGTTCCTTAACAGACCCCCCCATGGCAGCGAAGGGTGGATCACCATGTAGCTCACTCAGGAAGAGAACTATCAAAAACACAAAGAAAGGTAGGTGTGTGATATTGAGTCTGTATTTGAGTTTAACTTACCTGTCCGTGTGAAAGGGACAACTTATGTTATTTACTTACTACTTACTTATGTCTCTGAGTTAAAGCATTGTCTGAGCAGCAGTGATGTCTTCTCTGAAGCCTACAACAAAACAATCTGACGAATACAAGTTTACATCAATCTAAAAATCTGAATTCTTAAGATGTGTGCAGCTCTGGCTCAGAGTGGTTGACCACTAATATTCCCAGCTTCTGTCGAACCCTCCTACTGATACTCAAGTAGAAGTACAGATACTAGGGTTTAACAAGACTCCTGTTGAAGTATCGACTCAAGCTTTTTACTTAAGTAAAAGTATAAAAGTACTGGTTTCAAAACTACTTAAAGTATACTGTACAAGTAAAAGTAATGTAAGAAATTCCATTAAGGACAATTTCTTAATGCGTAACCTCGCTCACACACACGTCAGTCCATTACAATGTGATCAGAAGGTGCCTGGAGATCACGTGACCTGCCGTTGGGATGGTGGAAACATGGCGATATTCAGAGACGCAACAACAAAACAACAAATGTATCTGACTTAAACAGATAAAACCACAACCCATTTCCAGTGACACGAGTCACACACACACGTTGTTCCCATTGATGAGGTAGACTGCAGTGTCTCCCCCAGGTTTACTACGTCATGGGTGGCGGGGGGGGGGGGTTCGCACTCTGTTTATAATGATGGGAAACACTGAACTGGCAGCGGCCGGTTATCAAAACATTGGCCAAATAACCAGTATGTTCAGGCTTCATGAGCAAATACAGAATCCCTTTGTGTTCATTTCTCAAGCCGCATTAAGACACACATCACTTTATTTAATACGCTGCACTACTTGCAAGTCGCTGTGTTGTGCCAGACTCTCAATAAAACATTTAGGACAAACCCACGGTCATGAAGATTGCGTGAGGAAGAGGAGGAGGAGGAGGAAGAGGAGGAGGGTCCATGTCGCTAAATACCACCGACCACTTTTCCCACCCGGTGTCTACTACGACAAGCCGGAAGTAACATGGCTGTTTTTAAAATGTAAGGAGTAGAAGTAAAAAGTCGTCTGAAAAACAAATAATACAGTAAAGTATAGATACCCAAAATTTCTACTTAAGTACAGTAACGAAGTATTTGTACTTCGTTACTGTACTGTACATTTGTACTTGTACTTCGACACCTCTGCTGAAGACGGTGTGTAGATAGAATCCTGTGGACTAACTTGGAGCTCTGCACTTCATCTCTTTATATGTCCAATGGACACGTTCTATTGGTTCTATGAACATGTTAATAGTTAGAAATAATTAAAGAGGTTCATGAAGTCAGTCAGTACTGATGAGGTCTATAGGAATACATCATTAATATAATCTCTAATAGTTAGTGTTTTGTTTTATTAGTACTATATAGTCTATATAGATACATAGTCTCTCCTCCACCTTCTCTTGATACCTGTTCCCTTCATCCTCCAGATCACAGGGGGCGTCAGCCTGGACCAGGCTTCAAAGCTCAACGTCCTGTTAGAAAACCATCTACTGATCCACCTCAGACCTCCACCCATCCACCTCAAACCTCCAACCAATTACCTCAGACTTCTTGCCCTCGATCTCATGCCTCCATCCCTCCATCTCAGACCTCCACCCATCCACCTTCGACCTCCATCTGTCCATCACAGACCTCCAACCACCCACCTCAGACCTCCATCCCTCCATGCCAGACCTCCATCTGTCCATCACAGACCTCCAACCACCCACCTCAGACCTCCATCCCTCCATGCCAGACCTCCATCTGTCCATCTCAGACCTCCAACCATATATCTGAGCCACAGCCCCTCTTCCATCTACCTGGGAAACAGACCTCCAATCAACGATCGCAGTCCTCGATCCATCTTTTCCGGACGTCCGTCCATCCATCTCAGCCCTCAATCCATCCACCCCCGGACCTCCCTCCATCCATCTCCCACACACACTGCAAGGTAGATTGGGATAGAGTAGAGGGGGAGGTTGTTCCTGTAAGAGACATCAGTGTCCAAAGCTGTCCAAAGAAGTCAGACATGCGGCTGGAGCTTGGACAGGTTGACAGAGTCCTGTTGGACACACCCAGTGGGAGGGACTGCACAGGAGAGACAGATGAGAAAGTGAAGACGGTTCAGTACTTGCTGGGAGAACTGAAGGCTCTGATCGCTGGACAAGGTAACCTGTCTGTCTGACTGTACATGGACACGGTAATATATCAGCTGGTTCTTGTTGTATTGTGTGTGCTCGTGCATGCAGGCAGTGTAGCAGAGAGGCTGCTCACTCATCTGGAGCAGACCGTGTCTTCACCGATGATGGATGCTGGGAGTTCAAACATATGGACCGAACCAGAACGAGTGTCCCTTCACAGCCAGAACAATCTGCTCCGCAGGTAGCTTACCTGCGTGCTCTAACAAACCCTTTGACATGGAAACATGGAGGAAGTCTCAGGGGATGTAAATACCAAGGAAGTGTAGTTACAGTTGTGTATATACATAAATATTGTGTGTGTGTGTGTCCCAGGCGAGTGCGGTTTCTTAACCAGCAGTTGAAGCAGAGGGAGAGAGCAGAGTCTCATCAGAACCAGGAGATGTTGTATAACCCAGAAGGTGCAGCCTGTATGTGTGTGGTTCTCTGGGAGATTCTCCCTCAGGACTGGTTTGATCCTGTGTCTCTCCACAGTGTGGACTTTGCAGGAGGAGCTCAGCACTGCTCAGTCACAACTGCAAGAAGTCCAGGACGACCTCACAGAGCTACGGAAAGCCCTGGAGGAAACACAGAGCCAGCTGACAGACCGAGAGGCAGAGAAGGCCCTCATCCAGACAGGTGGAGATAGTGATCTATGTGACCCACCTGTTCTCACACCATTCAGCCTCCTCCTTGTTCTCCTAGAGCAGAACATCCGTCAATCAAACAGCTACAGACCAAATCAACTAATTCTATCTTGGTAGAGGACAACAGTGAACACTGGGTTGGTTTATAATGGAAGTGTGTGTGCTTGTGTGTAGAATTGGAGGCCACCCGAAGCAGGTTGCTGGACAGTGAGCGAGAGAGGAGTGAGTTGGCTTCACTTGCCCAGCACAGACTGGAAGACATAGGAAACCTAAACAGGTGTGTGTGCTGCCTGTCTCCGGAGTGCGCTGAAATTGGAATAGAAGTGCTGAGAGAATGTGCAATTGTGTGGAGGAAATGATGGTGAGAAATTCTCTACTCTGTCTGCTTCAGGATTCTCCAGGATCCCCCTTCATCTTCGCTGTCAGACACCAGACACCTCTTCAACCAGCGCAGGCCAGAGTATGATCGCGTCCCCCAATACCTGATGTCTCTGGGCCAGCTGGAGCCCACCCCCTCTGAGCATGTGTCTGCCGAGAGAGAAGGAATCCCAGCACCACACCGTGAGGGAGGAGGCCGAGCGGCTCATGCAACCCCCCCTTTTCAGAGCTGCCATGAGGACCAATCACATGGTTCTGATGGGAAGCAGCAGCAGGCCCCGTCCCGCTGCGATGTGGAGTCACTGTATTCTGACTGTAGCTCCAGCTCGGGCTCCACCTTCAACACCAAAGACGAGGTGGCGTTTCGAGCCGGCCTGGAGGCTCTGGATGCCAGCATAGCTAGTCTGCAGAGGACTATTCAGCTGGACACGAGGAGGTGAAGCACTCAGCTCTGATGTTTTTATCAAATATGTTGTCATATGATGGTTGTAAGTGAAATAAAGCGTTTTGTAATCTGTTTTTCATTTTCCTGAACTGTAAATGCAATAACAAGTTCTTTGTTTTGTAATGGACTGGTGTTTGATTCAAACATCTCACTTTCTAATGAATAGTTTGCATTACAGGCACAGGCTGAATCCGCTCCACCGGTATATAAACTCAACATAACAAACTTGAGTTACGCGACTAGATTATGCATCAATAAAATCTGAAGTGAAGCCTCATCTGAGGTAAATGAAGAATTCAAAGCGCATTTTTATAAAACTGTAAAACAGGTTTAATAGACCAGTATAAAAGCAATGGTGTAGATTAACAAGCATCCCAAAGTCTACGGCTAGCATTACAAAAAAAACAATGTACAGCTGGGAATAAAGACATCCAACATATAAGCACCCTCCTTGAATGTTCCCTTTGGTAGAGAGGACACAGCACCACATCAGCACACTGGCCTTCATAGTGCAAAACGCCTGGAGGAGGAGGAGGAGCTACCTGGGACCCATCTGCAGGAGATGACAAATTCACCGACACAACATGAAGAAGCACTCTGACATCCTCCACATGTCTCTAGGACAACCCACATCAATATTAATATGCTCCCAACAGACAGATTATTTAGCTTAGCACCCCCCCCCCCCGGGTAAGCTTCAGTGCTGACAGCATGGACACCTGGCAACCCCACTCTGGACAGGACCACCACAAGACCTTAACCCAGGGTTAAGTGGTGTTAGCTATGCCAATGCTACATGCTGCAAACATGTATTATCCCCAACAATGCTCACTGCAGTTGAATTATGGTAGTACATTTGTATTTTTAATTGAAACATTTGGTGTGTGTGGGGGGGGGGGGGGGGTCTCTTTGGCATCACGTGTGAAAAGCATCTGCCGTGCAGTTAGCATCCGTTTATTATGGTCCACGTCCATGGGTTGGAGTACGATGGAGGGCGACCTCTGGGTTTGTCTTAATGAGGGAGAGACACGTCTGTCCCCGTCTCCTCAAGTGTCCTGCTACACAGGCTGCTTGTCTCCGTGCTCCTCCTGGAGATCGTAGTCACTCAGTTCCTCTGCGGTGTCTCCAAAGCCGTGGTAGTGTCCGTAATGCAGGAAGTCCCTGCGGTCCGCTCCACTCGCCCCCCCCCAGGTTGGCGAGTGGAACACGGAGCTGCTGGTCAGATGCAGGGAACCACACATGTCAGCGGACGAGCGCTGAGGTGGCGCTGTTGCAGCCGGCTGATTGGCTGTTGGTGAGGAGGCCGACTGTGGCTCCTCCTGGTCCCCAGGAGGCGGAGTCTGACGAGGGCCCAGCGTTGTGGCTTTAATGTTGTTGTTTAGACAGAGAGAGCAGCTCATGTTACATTGTACTGTGTCTTTCTGTCTCCGTTAATTAATGATAAAAACTGCAGTCCTACCTGGGTCTATGTTCATGCTCTCCAGTTCGTCACCTCCACGGCTCTGCTCCAACACGGCTGCAGCAGAGAACACAGCTGTTCATTTCTGATACCTGGACTGTTCATACCAACTTCCTCTGGTGACATGTCGAGCCACACAGGACTATCTGTCTTAACCAGGGAGACTTTACTGGTTTATTATGATGATTCTAAATTGTGTGCGGTTATATTGCTTTTCTGACTAATTTACCCTAAAATTAGTAACAACACTTCACATGAAGTGTAATAAGAATGTCTTACTCTCAGCTGCCCTGGCTTTCTTCATGTGCCCAGTATCCTCAGCGGTCTGCAGCCTCTTCCTGCTGTGCAGGGCCTGACCACACGGGGCGCTATTCCCTTTGTGCACTCCACCGAGCTGCAGCAAGTGCTTCTTGGTTTTGGAGATGAAGCTGAAGCAGTCGAGGAAGCCTTTAGCGTGGGCCAGGTCTGCTGCGGTCTGTCCACTGGCGTTCCTTAAACTGAACCAGAGGACACAAGATGAGATCCACAAGCCCACCTTCACACTCATAACAGGGGTTCTGACCCACATAGTTTTAGCTCAGGGGGCGGCAATCTGCCAGACCTGCTCTTTTTTGACAACAGGAAGGAGATGAATGGGGAGCAGATGTCTCAGGGTGCTCCTGCCCTTCATCAGCTACACGCAGCCTGCAGTCATAGCTCGTCCTCCCGCAGACTGCCTGGAACTCTGTTTGACCATTGAGGCTCTCTGAGTAGAGAATAAACTCCAAAGATGAACCGCTTTCCAAGGTTCTTAGGACTCACTCTGTAATAATTTGCTTTTATTTTCAGCCATAACAATCTTTGAAGTTAATAACTCTTATCTTGTGTTGTTACGTAAAACCGTGTCACTGAAAATAAAATGTTTTTGTGTCTACTTCTGTTGACAAAATATTTTGTCAACAGAAATGTGCGTCACATCATGTGACATTGCTGTCAAGCGCCGTTCCCTGCAGCGGGCTTATAAGGATTTGCAGAACCGCCCCTCTGTAAACTATTAGAAAAGTCAAGAGGAAAATAGGTTCATTCTGCTCGAACATTCAATTGTAATGTTTAAAGAAGCTTCCAAAGAATATCACAGTATTTACTGAAAAGTATCAAGTTGGAGAAGAAGAGCGAAAAAAGAAAAAGCAGAAGATCATTTATACTTTTATTGGTGAACACGCAAAAGGCTTTCTCATATGTGCTGGAACATCAGCCCCCAGTCACGCACTTATCCACACACATTGAGCATGACAAAATTAAAACATCCCCCTCTGCCAATCACAGACGGCCTGACGTGTGCCCCCCCATCCAAATAGGTACTGTAGCTAGGATGATTGAAAGGTTATAACAGCGTCACCACATGAGACCTTCACTGACCTCCTAAATTCAGTAAATGTGATAACTATTATTCTTATCATGAACACATTAAAAAAGATTGATATAATATTTCACTCAGTTTTTCATTAAAATATACTCACACTTTCATGTTCAGACGTTACAGTTGATGTCCGTAAGTCAATAGACTTTCGTCTAACTTACATAAATATATACTGGCATTTCTTTTTAGGTTTACTCTTTTCAAGATATTAGGCTGCTGCTGTATGTTATATTTATTTCAGTTATTTAATTTATTTTCCAAAAATAAGGACTGAAGGCCTAAATAAGTCTGATGAATTGGCCTCAATGAAGACTTACAAATGCTGATTTTCTCCTCTTCATAAGTGTTTGCTATTGTAATACCTGGTAAAATAGCACAAAAAAAAAGCAGGAATTTATATTAATTATTGAGGGTTCTCCACATTGACCAGACTGTGACCACCCATTTAACCGAACTGTAAAGTGGAACATGGGGTTCTGGACCAACTTGTGCCAAAAACCAGAGACGTTATGACCTATTTCCAGTTTATTTTGTTCCAATTGATTTCCATTCCTGGTCTATTTGACCACGGAGGAACATTCCAAACTTACTGAAACCTACACTTATAAAATGATAAACACGTTGCTATAGTACCCCCTATTTTAGCTATTGAACCTCACAGGACATTTGATGACTTAACTGTTAACTAGAGTATATAATGGTATATTGTGGGGGGAGTTAGTTCAGTTGTCACTGTGGTAAAGAGGGTGAGATGCTGATGAAAGCTTAGGAGAAGCTAGTCAGTAGACCTTTGCATTGAGATGAATTAACCACAACGTTTAATGTGTATTGGTACAAACAATCTATCAGCTCGTAAGACGCTATAAAGGGCAAAAATTTAGACAAACACACGTTAAATGAAGTAAGCATGCAAGATAAGACGTTACTGTTATCACCACAAGTATCTTTCTTATTTTGCCAGCTGCGGGGAGGAAACACCTGTGAGATGAGTGGCAGATTGCTGCTGGTTTATGACTGTGTGACATTGTAGTAGCAGCAGATTTAGGAGCCAGTCCCTGCTACGATGTCTCACAGACATCATATTAAGCCTGAGACTGTGAGGCGTCAGAATACTCACTGTGGTTTAGCAGCAGCGAGCAGCAGGACCTGGATACACTCCAAGCTCCCGGAGCGGGCAGCCTTGTGGATGGGAGCCTCACCTACAAAGTCCTGCAGATATGTCACACATGTGTATTCATTGCATGCCAATTCACCATCATTACACCGCATCTGTCTCTCAAGTCTAACAGAGTCGACAGAGTTACACCACCTGGCTGTTGACGTCGGCTCCAGCCTGAGTGAGCCACACCACGCAGTGAGGATGTCCTCCAAACGCTGACGTGTGCAGAGGGGTCTGGTTAAAGCGGCTGGTCCCGGTGTTCACCTCACAACCCATCTGGACCAGGAGCGCCACGCAGTCCAGCTAGGAGAACCAGTACATTATGAGACCACCAAACACATCACAAAGTCCCATTGGGAGGAGACAAAGATGAATTAAGAACTGTACCAGGAGACCCCGCACTGCAGCTAGGTGCTCCTGGTCCAGATGGGTTGTGAGGTGAACACCGTGAAAGACAACAAAGGTTAAAAATAAAAAAAATGTTGTGACAGTCAGAATGCAGTCAAGCATTTGACAGCACCACAGTACCAAAACTGCTCTTTTTAAGGTTTTGAACGCAATGATAATGGATCTCTGTGCTGCATTTGACACGGTCGGGGTTAAAATACCAAAATCTGGGTGGGGCTCTCTGGCACAGCACTAAACTGCCTTGAATGATACTTAAAAGGGAATACGTTGAGTCTGTAGCTTCCACATAGGTGCGGCCTAAAATGACGTGGGGTTCCCCAAGGTTCAATTCTGGGGCCCCTCCTGTTCAACATCTACATGCTTCCACTAGCTCTGATTATGGAAAGAAACATAATCATTATTGTAAAGTCCAGTAATGTTAGAAACTGAACTTGGTTGCTTTACTATTATTGTTTTGAGGCGTGAATAACTATACATTTTGTTTTGTTTGAGGGAGCCAGGAGAAAGCAGCTTAGTTCATCAAACTGATGGAGAGAACAATGTGTGTCTATGGATGGGTGGACGGGGGGAAGAAGAAAGGAAACATACAAATCCACATTACTATCAGCAAAGCAGAGGTTAAGTGTATTGTTTGGGAAGATAAAAAAGGTGGGACAGAGAGGAGAAAGGGAGACATCCATACCATCTACAAAAGTGTCAAAGTGGCATGGTTAGGCAGTAGGAACAAGAGAGAAGAGACACTGATGACAAGGTTAAAATTAGGCCATTGAGCTCTAAAAAACACTGAAAATTATAGGGTAACACCAGACAGGGTTGTGTGAAGGATGTGGAGAGGAGGAGTCGGTTGAGCACGTAATTTTGAGGTGCTGCAAGTATGAGATGCAGAGAGAGATGAGAGAGAGGATGAGGAATCAGCTGAGGGAATCAGGGCTGCATGATGCACATTTCAGAGACTACTGACCGTGGATGAGAGAGCACAGGTTGGAATACTGTTATCTTTCTTAAAGAACACAGGGGTATTTTATTGGATATGATGGAAATGCAGGGATAAGGTACAAATGTGATTGTGATATATATATATATATATATATATATATATATATATATATATATATATATATATATATATGTGTGTATGGATAAGAATAGTTATTTATTTAAATTTGATCAGGAATCAGGAAACATGTATTACCAAAATATGTCAGACATACAAGGAATTTGACTTGTCGATTAGTCCATAGCCACAGACAATGGACAACAAGACAGAGAAGACGACATAGTGCAAGAGAAAATAAAATAAAATCTAATGCTATGGGTTAGTATATAAGGCTATGTGTTAGTTTAAAAATAAAGGAATAAAGTTTAAAAATGTTAAAAAGTTAAAAAATAAAGTGCACCAACTATTTAGTTTTTTATATAGGAGTTTTTTTGGGGGGAGAGGAAACGTATATTCTGATCCACACTCCGGTGCAGAAGGTGGCGGTAATGCACCAATAAGATGGATGCAAACTGCCATAAAACCAAAAAAAGAGGAAGAAGGAAGACCTCCCCCGGAAAATGTATTGGGCCACATTAATTCGAATCCAACCAGTCTGTAAGAGCTGTGTCTGATATCCAATAGCTATTGGGTTATACGGGACCCAATGGAAGTGCTTGCAGCGCGAGAGGGATGTTTATTGTTTTTTTAACTAAGACATCTATATTGTCCAGGTTATAGAAAGACACAATCGTAACACGGCAGGCATTTGAGAGCTGAAAAAACGGCGGGAAGTTACCTGTTATCCAAAAGTCTCGAAGCTGGGTCCCCACCCTGAGCTAAAGCTCAGCGAGCTTATCCCCACCTTGTAGCTAAAATGTCTTCGAGTTGTCCCCACCTGTAGCTAAATGTCTCGAGTTTATCCCCACCTGCAGCTAAATGTCTCGAGTTTATCCCCACCTGTAGCTAAAGCTCTCGAGTTTATCCCCACCTGTAGCTAAAGCTCTCGAGTGTTTCCCCACCTGTAGCTAAATGTCTCGATCTTATCCCCACTTGTAGCCGATGGTCTCGAGTTTATCCCCACCTGGAACTGATAGTCTCGAGTTTATCCCCACTTGGAGCTAGAGGCATCGAGTTTATCCCCACCTGGAGCTAAAGGTCTCCTGGACCTGGTCCCTACCTGTCCGTAGTGAGCAGCCCAGTGTAGAGGGGTCCATCCGTAATTCGAGTCCTCCGCGGTCAGATGAGCTTGGTTCAGTTGGATCAAGGAAAACAAAGCTCCAACATCTCCATCCCGACATGCTCGGTGAACGGGAAACCGGCTGATGAACAAGTCCTCACCGGACAAATCGAGTCCTAGTCCGTGTGACATTAGTGAGACGTTTGTTTCCCTGTCCGACCAAGTACAACCAACTATTTCAAACACAAAGGAAGAGGAGATAAACCTTTATCCGCGGGCTGTAAATCACAAAACCCGGACTGGAGTCTGGACCGGGACATAATCCGGGAAACGCAGTGATCCTCTGGTCGGTTTGGGATTAAAACCGGTCGGCACGGAATCCGCCTCCTAGCGGTTGGGGGGAAGCTGTGAAATTAACCTCCCAGGTAAGGAACAGTTTTTAACTTCATTATTTTCTTTCTTAATGTTGGCTAATTCGTGTTGAATGCTAGTTTAACTACACATATGTACTAAGGCTAAACAATGTATTCATGCAATTGACAATGCTGCCAATCCGCACAGGAACGGAAGAAGAGGACAACAACAACTAAATTGACGTTAGCTATCAACATGGCTGCGCCTTTGGGCGGGAATCGTCTGGCTCTGTGTCATGGGTCCAATGCAGGGACACGGGTAAGACAACGTGACTTGGCAGGAACCAGTCTGTGGTTGACATGTTCATAGTAAACGGCAGTCAGGACAACATGACTATCCTCACACAACCATACCTGGTAAAACCAAGAGGTTTATACATAGTATGTAACTACGGCGTATAAAGATGTGGGGTATAACCGTGAGGTTTAACCATGGCAGAGGAGGAATCCCTCTCCCGGGATGGACAGAGTGCAATAGATGTCATACCTGTCATATTTACAGAATGAAAACACATTTTATATTAATATATTTAATGCATACATTATAATGGTAATGATTCATATATTGAAAATAATAAGCTGTTGATTTACAATTACTGACAATAATAACAAATGTAGTGGATGTAGTAGACTAACAATGATAACAAAGGAAGTGATGGTGTCAGCAATAGTAAAGTAGTATTCGTAATAACAGTGACAACAGCAGTAGATGTCGGGCAGGACCTCAGCAGGAACAACCACTGTCCAGATATAACTACCATGCACAGAAATCTGCGAGGAGAGAAGGCTGAAGCCAATCAGTAATGTGTGTTTATGATGACAGTAACAGTAATGTGTCTAATAATACTGGTAGCAGGGGAGAAATGGCAGAAGGCCGGACCTGGTTCCAGATATGACCATGATCCATGGAAACCAATGAGGCAAAAAAACTCTGAGAGAAGCTGAATTAGAGATGTGCATTAATGATGAATTCTTATAGGAGAATCAAAAAGGAAGTTCTTAAGCTTTACCTTAAATGGGATGACCATGTCTGCCCCCCCGGACTGACCGAGTATGCTGGTTCCACAAAGAGGAGCTTGATAACTGAAGGCTCTGCCTCCCATCCTACTTTTTAACACTGTAGCAAGAACAAGTAAACCAGCTTTTATGGAGTGCAGCTCTCTAGTAGAGTAATATAGTATTATACGCTCCTTAAAACAAGATGCGCTTGACCAGCAAGTGCCTTGTAGGTGAGAACAAGTACATGCTGCAGCATTCTGAATCATCTAAAGAGGCTTAAAAGACCGCATCCTGGAAATAAAGAATTTGCGGCGTATCAATGTTGTATTCCAATGAGGTATAACACATTATTTATTAGGTGGGTGGGTCGGGTTTGGCCTTTTTAAAATGAATCCTTTCGGATCAATGCATGTTGATCTCTTTTCTTTCAGGATGATTTTGTGAGGGTGAGAAAAAGTGATCTAGAGAAGTTAACCACAGAAGTCATGCAGCTGAGAGACTTCCTGCCCAGAGTCCTGAACGGAGACCTGATTGAAACGCTGCATGAAGCTCGAACCGCTCAGACGGGTACGCTTCCAATTAACTTAACCCTGAGGGCTAAAATACTTCAGTAAGAATCCACAACTGCGTGTGATCTGGTGAGTGTAGTAAGACGGGTAACTAGTCTCACTCTACACCAGCTAGCAGGAGAGCTAGAGTGGAGCTCTTCATACGGAGCCGCTCGGACACATTACTACAACAAAGGATAACCTCATGTTTCATGAATGCAGTTTGAAAAGGGTAATGGAAGGTGAACTATCCACAGCTAGCTGCTCCTTTTAGCTGTGATGTGGAAACAACTCTTGTTCATCAGGGAACTTCTCCATCAAACCAGGGCTTTCTCTTTCAAGTGTTACATGTATGTTTGAGTGAGTGTGTCTGTGTGTGCGTAGTAAAGGAGCAGCTTGCACAGGAGCAGGAACAGCTGCGACAAGAGTGTCTGCACCTTCAGTCGCGACTGGGTGCAGTGCAGACTGAATGTCAGAAAGAGAGAGAGGTGAGAGAGGACGAGCAACCTGTATGTGTAAGGTCGCTTCAAAGGCTCCGCTGTGCTCAGCTATGCAGAAAGAATAACACAATCTGAACTGTAGAACATTGTAGAAATAATAACTAGGTGGAGAAAGCTGCATTCTGTGAATTGGTGTTTTCCATTATTCTGTCCTATTGTGACTCCCTGTGTGTGTGTGTGTGTGTGTGTGTGTGTGTGTGTGTGTGTGTGTGTGTGTGTGTGTGTGTGTGTGTGTAGGAGAAGCTGCTGTTGCGTGAGCAGCTGTGGCAGAGCGGAGCAGAGCTGCAGCAGCAGGCAGACTTCTGCTCTGATCTGGGATCTGCTGCCTGCAGTCTGCTGTGGAGCTGCTCTTCCAGTGAGGACACAGTCTCACGGTGGCTGACTGATGTGAGTCGTTTGTCTGCCCTGATGACAATATACGCTCCCAGGGTTTCCCCATCTATATCTGTGTGTGCTGATGGGTAGGCGAAGCTGCAGTCCTTCCTGCAGGTAGCCGCTCAGACTTTGGAGAGCTTCGTCGGGTCTCTGGATGATGATGCGAACACTCTCGCCGAGGACCACAACCCGGATCACCAGTTTGTTCTGGCTTGGCTGGAACCATTACTAGTGAGTTCAAAGCTTCTGCATTGTATCCCACTCCTCCTCTTCTGGTCATTGAAGGGGAGGAGCTACCACCTGGATCCTTCATACTTCACAGCTCATGAGGCACTACAGTAGGAGAAGGATCAGGAATCAGGAATCAGGAAACATTTATTTGCCAAAATATGCCAAACATACAAGGAATTTGTCTTGGCGGTTAGTGCGCGACAGTAGACAGACAAGACAACAGTGCACAAGTAATAAAATAAAGTAGAATGAAATGCTAATGCAATGGGTTAGTATAAAACAAGGGAATAAAGTTAAACTTTTTAAATATTAAAAAGTAAAAAAGAACAAGTAACAGACAAGAGACAAAGTGACAAGTGACAAAGTGATGAATTGCAGTTAAAGTGACGTGTGCAGTGTGAAGGGGAGTGACCGGTGGAGTGTTATAGTCAGGCAGTGGGGGACCGGGATCTGTTGATGAGCCCGACTGCCGACGGGAAGAAACTGTTCGTGTAGCGGGAGGTCTTAGTCCTGATGGACCTCAGCCTCCTCCCAGATGGAAGGGGCACAAACAGTTTTTGTCCAGGGTGGGAGGGGTCGGCCGCGATCTTTTTAGCTCGCTTCAGAGACCTGGAAAACAAATCTGTAGCCTTTGTGACCATGTCAAACAATGTGGGGACAACCTAAAGTTAATGAAGTCCATCCTGCAACATGCATCTTTTCTTGTAATCAATCAGATGTAGCAGCAGTAGCCTGTGGGCGGGACTTCTTATCGTGCTTGGCTCGTGATCTTCTGGACTCTCTGATGAAGCTGTTGGAGCTGATGTCGCCCGGTGTCTTCCCCAAACTGAAAGTGTAGGTGAAAAAGCTTTGGTAGAATGCATTACACAAAGCTCTGGGAGTGGACGTTGTAGAATAAACATGGACCTAAATCTGAGAATTCACGCTTCAAAAATATGTATCCCAATAGTTTAGATCAGGGGTGTCAAACTCAATTGCACAGGGGGCCAAAATTCAAAACACACTTCAGGTTGCAGGCCGAACAGAATAAACATTTATTGAACACACTAAAACTAAAAGTTTCTTTTAACATAAATATAAATACAAACAGACAGGAATGTTATTCTGCAATAAATAAACTTAAACTTAACTTAACTTAAAATATCTTGCTCTCCATAAAAGTATATCCAGTCAAAATTATACAAGTTAGAAATATGAACATGCTGCAAAAAAACGCATGAAAAAATAAATAAAAATTGCGACAGTGCTTGTGCTTTAAGTAAACATTGAAATAACAAATCAAAACATTTGAGTTTTGCTTTTTCATGTAGACGGAGCTGGGACATTGCGGCGGGAATGGAGTGAATAAACAGTGTCGTACTTTGTCCTTAGTGTCCCATCACACTGCAGCTCAATCAGCTCCATCTGAATCTGCACAGGTGCAGTTTCCACGTCGACGGCAAATGGGTTGCGAAACAACTCAAAATTATTTTTTTGTTCCTCAAAATCACCAAAGCGCCGTGCGAACTCCGTGCGCAGTGCGCTCAGTTTATCAGCAAAGTGCGTATTTGGGAACACCGTTGTGCCGCATTACTTGGCAACAGGGAAAGTGGGGCGAGTTGCACTGGTGCATTTGTGTCTCCCATAAAATCAGCTTCACTGCGTCATACATGTCAGTGATCATGCGGTCACGTCCCTGGAGCTGGAGGTTTAAGGCATTGAGACGTGCGGTTATGTCAGCCAGAAACGCCACGGAAAGCGCTCGGCAAGGCAGCTGAACCGCTGCATTATGGGATCTGTAGTTTATTTTGTTATCAGCGCTTCATATCGTTGGGCCATTAGTAACAATAATATAAAATGATCTCGCAGGCCAGATATAATTGCATGCCGGGCCGGATATGGGCCTTGAGTTTGACATGTGGTTTAGATGATCCATAAAACATCTTAACAATCACAGGTCTGGATGATCTGTACACACACGCAGGTCCTTCTTCTGAACAAGGTGCATTAATACAATTCTGTTCGTAGATCTCTTAAATGCATATCTAGACATTGTGTGGTCATAGATTTAGGATGTTATTATCAAGCCTTACGGATTAGCGAATGAACAAAAAGAGAGGCAGCACCGACTTATGTTCATTAAACAGATGATCCAACCAACCACTTTATGCAAATATATAAGTGATGATGTCATAAAATATGACAACATGCATTCAAAGCTTCATTGGAAAAGCTCAATGGAATGTAAAACACCATGTGACCTGTACAGACCTGTGCTGGAGGCAAATGTCCACGTAGGTTTTAGACAGAAACAAGGCAACCACACAGTCCACTTTTACACAGTAGGAGAAGAAGCATAAACTAGGCTTAAGAGGTGTCCATTCCTGATGATTTTGTTTCTTTCCATTGTTTTGGTGGAGGTCAGCTGAAGGACGCGTAGTCTGTGGATCAGTCTGTGTGTGTCTTCATGGGGGCAGTAGGTGTCAATCTTGGACTTGTGCCCCACATAGTGTTTTGATTTGCTGCAGGTTGATGCTAATGGCTCTGTACAACGTCAGCATCAGTGTCAAAGGACTGAAGTGCCTCAGTGAGAATCCAGGACTCCTGCCTCTCATCTTGACCCTGCTGGACGGTAAGAAGACTCATTCAGAACAATTCAAACTGACCGATACACTGAGCATAATAAGGCTTGAATCAATGCAGCGTTAATTCTCCACTTGTAATTAATTGAATGTCCCACAGTTTACATTGGTATTATGAATAAAAACCCACAGTCAGTGACTCCACCACCTGGGATCTCTATTCGTCTGACAGATGGAGACTGGGAGGTGTGTCTCCACTCTCTGCGTCTCCTGCAGTCGGTGTTGATGGAGGAGGAGGTGCTGCTCCTGCTGGGCTCTTCTCTGCTGGATCCAGACCTTCGGGCTCGTGTCAGCGGGCTGACCTCCAGCGAGCGGCCCAGCCTGAGGCTGGCTGCCCAGCAGACCCTGGAGGACCTGCTGGCACTCCAACAGGGGCCCCAGTCAAAACGTATGCACTCCAAACCTTAAGTCATACGTTACTGTACAACATGAAGTCTCACATGTTCTACCATACAACGCATCCCTTTGAAGTGGAGATAACTACTGTAGTTGAAAATCCCCAAATAGTTTGCAGAGAACTGTTGTCTCTGAAGCGTTCTGTCGATCGAGTGTTTGTTCTTTACGTAACTCACAGAAAAGGTCAAATGGATTGAAACTGGTGACTTCAGTTTTGAAGTCGTCATCTTTGACTCCATCCATGGTCATGTAGTCATGTTTGTAAGCTACGCTGTAATGTCTTTACAGGTGTTGCCGTTCTTTTATTTTCATGCAGGCTGGGTTTTGGCTCTGTTATTTATTATTTGGTCCCTGCAAAAGTTTCATAAATAATAAAAATGCAGTTTGTACACATGGTATCTAAAGGGGTTTATTCTAATTAAATAGCGTCTGACCACATGGAAATACGGGTGTATTGAGAATGGGTTGTGATATGAGGTGCATGAATAGTGTTCATACGTGCACATGCAGAACGAGAACAACCCCAGTGAATTTACTTCTCAACCACAAGTGCATGTTTATTTGGTGCATGTGTGATGCAGGAATCCTAGATTTAAACGTGTTTTACCACGTGAGACGATAAGTCTTGATTATTGTTCCTCGCTGCTTGTAGTTTCCAGAAGCAGAACACAGCTCCACTTTGAACAGAATAATCAAGCCACAGAGGAGTTTCATTTAGTTAAACAGCTTTATTGTGTGTTCCTAAGTATAGACTGCATTGAACAAAGGCTAGACTACAGTACAGGATACACTGAAGACCAGAAAAGAGCCTTCAGAGAGGAAGCATCCACATTGACCTCCATTACCAACCACCAGGGGACTCGCACGCACCGACAACAAACAGCAGAATGAAGCACCTCGTCATGGGAAGAATGACTTTTCTTTGTTAGGCTCAAAACAGGGATACTAATATCAGTGTAAGAAGGATCAACAACAGGGGAGCACTTGAAGCCAAAGCGTGGTCGTTCATCCCAAACGTTTTAGGGTAAGGACGGGGAGAGGGGGGGGGCTGAGCCCCTCCAGCATCCCCCACCACTCAGCCTCTAGGATGACCCAACAGCGCTGGGCTTGTCATCACGGACAACAGGGATGCTGCGCTCGCTGCGGCCGGATTCGCTCCCTCCGGTGACCTTTGGCCCTGTCAGAGTCAGCAGACCATCCGTTGACAGGGTGCAGGTGATTGCTGATTGGTCAACACTGGAGGGGAGGCGGTAGCGGCGGTGGAACTCACGAGCAATGTAACCGTGGTCATCCTGTAAACAGCAACGTGAACATACAATGTCTTTATATAAGGGAATATACGTTCTGTCTATACATAAAGAGACATACATCCTGTATTTGTGTAAAGGGACATGCATTATGTCGTTTTATAAAGAAAAATACATAAAGGGGTGTCCGTTGATGGAGCAATACCTGTCTTTCTCCATGCTTGCCCTGGATCTCCACGTAGTCATCAGTGACCTTCACGCTGAGCTCATCAGGAGAGAAGTGCTTGACGTCCAGGTGGACAGTGTACTTGTCTCTATCAGACCTCACCTGTGGGAAAGAATCACACACTCCTTCGAATCAGATGGGGAGCAACTCCACTCAGGATGAATCAGCAGCTCACACATAGTACAGAGAAATGTGAACTGGAAAAGAGCGTCATTACTATGAAACCCCACGAGAAGAGTTAGCCACAGGAAGCCAGTCCTCTGCTGCGAACATATGAGCTGACTTTGTCTACATGGGTCTCATGGTTCCGCTTGGTTACCTCTGAGGTGCCGGAGTTGGAAGAATCCAGAAAGCTACGGAACAGCGACTGTCTGTAGTAAGGGCTGATGGTGGAGGTGGTGTAGGGAAAGAAGTCGTAGTCAAACATGCCCTCTCCAAAGAACTGGTCAAAGACGCGAGCCGGGTAGACGGAGCCCAGGGCACGTCTGAACCAAGGGTGCTGTATGGCAATATCCATAGTGGCTGTGGCTTGATCCTGGTCAGCTCAGAGTCCAGCAGGAGACGGAGAGGAGTCGAGCAGCGGAGGCTGTAGAGCGCTGATGAGTGGAGAGAGTTTCAGGAGGCTTGGTTTTCTGCTGCACAGCCGCCTCCTCTTTATATACCTGACAGCCAGAAAGAGAGGCTTTAGCCACGATCCCTCTGGAATGGCATTATCTCATGGTGGATTGGGCCGTGTCAGCAGAATCAGGTTTGAAGAGGAGGGGGGGGCACCGCTGGGTCCAGTTCCTGGTACGACTAGTGCCACTCACAAACCAGACACTCCGGGCTGCCAAAACAAGCACTGCTGGACGGAGAGGGGGGAAGAGACAGTGAGGTCGGGACGAAAACTAAACCAGGGATTTCACCTGAGTGACCAAACACCCATGTCAACGTACTACTAGTCCCAACCTGCCCCCACTGGATCACTGTTCTTCTGGGAGCAAGCTGAGAGGATTCCTCTTAAAGAGAGCCCTGTTGGTTCAGTCCCTTTGGGAAAGACCTGACAATGAAAAGAAGATGGGCCCTCTTATGTGTTACCTTCATCATACAGACCCAACTCGTCTGTTACTGGTCTCTGGCCTACAAATCACATCATCAGCCTTCTGACTTCACTCTTGAAGCACAGCTTGAGTCACTCAATACTTAAAAACTATTTTATAAACATTACGTTTTTTTTACGATTAAAAGGATTTGCTGTTTTTCCATTTATGATTAAATAAAGCAAATCTACTCTGGACAGTGTTTATTGTGTGCTTTTGTTTAGACGGTTTACAACAAATATTCAATAGTTTTATAGTCACATGGGACATTATTTTGCTATTATAGAATTATAATAGTAGTATGATATTATTTACATGTTTCTTATTATACTTCCACGCGTTTACAAAAGTTTGACAGTTTGGTATTAGTACTTTTACTTCAGTAAAGGAGCTGAGAACTTCAGCGATGGAGGAGTCTGGGTCCAGGTCCATCCAGGTCCAACGGTGCTGGATCTGTTGGATCCAGTTAGGTAAATGAACAGAGACATGTCATGTAATAACAGAAAGGTGTGTGCTCACATGGGGGTAGCAGCATGAACACGTGTACGCTGTGAAGCAGTCTGCAGGACCCAGTCAATCTGTCCCTTCCCATGCCTGTTGTTGCACCAGGAGTGGCTTCCTGCCACCTGCATTAGTCTAATCCCACCAGGCTTTGGCCAGCCAGCACAGGGGCTAAGCCGCTCCATGCACCCACAGCCAAAGGCAAATGGTCGGGCCGACTGATTCAGGATCAGTTTGCGGTGTTTTCTGATTCGGGGTGTCTGGCACGGTTAGACGCTGTTTGACTGGCTGCAGTTCAGCAGAGTCAGCATTCTTGGATTCATCAATGAGGCAGACAATGCCTGTGTGCTCTGTCCCCACACCGCTGAAAAGCTGCTTTGGCTAACTACCGGGGGGGGGGGGGGCGGATGCATGCTCATATTCATTCATAGATTCCATCTCTTTAGAAAACTCACGAGAAACCCTAGTATAATATTTCCCAGTGAAGGTTGACCAAAGACGTAGAGGATAGCTTCACATGATGGAGACATGCAACAGATGTGGACAAACATCAGTGATCAGTGAATTCCATTGTGATCGGTCAATATAGAACACGGTAACAAATACAGTGGTTCACAGCTGTTTTCAAGTTATATTTTACAATAGGAGATTTAAAGGTGAATGTTCTGTCAGGATGCGTAGAAGGCAGGACTCAAACGCAGAGTTTCCAAAACAAAAGGACTTTAATTGTCAAAATTTCCAAAAAAGCAAAAGGCCAAGGGGCAAAAACGCAGCCAAGAACCAGAAACACTACGACAAGAACCTCCGCACAGTAAACAATGACGCAGCAAGTGAGAAGAGACACACATTGCTTAAATACACTAGGGAGGTGCAGGTGATTGGAAACAGCTGGAAACAATCATGACGCGACAGGTAATCACTGGGGAATGACAGGACAAGACAGGAAGTGACATGACCCAGGGAGACATGATGCAAGACTACAAAATAAAACAAGACGTGAACCCAAACCGTGACTATATTTATGTATATCAGATCACCACGTTGATACTTTTTCTTACTAAAAAGCTGTCAAATAGAGAATGTCAGCTTAAATGAAGCGACTCCTCCAAGTTGTGTTAATACTTTTATTCCTTGAGGGACAGGCTGGGGAGGTAGAGTAGAAGCTATTTTTGACTAGCCTTTTATTAATAAACCCTGAACCTAAACTAGATGATTACAACTTTTTCACACCCAACCTGGAAAACAATTACAGCGAGTTATCCTTGTTGTGTCCCAGGTCCTTATTCAGAATTTCTATCTGAATCGACAGCCATTGTACTACTTATCTTATTGTTAGATTGAATTGGTTTCTGTCAGAGTCTACTGAAACCTACTCATTGTTTTTATCCCACCCGTGACCTGGTTCTTGTGTATAGCTTTGGGGTTGCAGTATATACATATCAGTACATATCAGTGGACTCCTGTGAAAACTGAAATCCGTCCCAGATTAATCATCTTGTCGATACTGCTACAGGCTTTTTGAAAGTGAAGCTGGACTCTACTGCTCCTCTAGAAAGGAGGAAGTTTGTTTCTTTGTAAAACCCTCAAACCCACAACTTAAAGCAAACTGCAGAAACTTAAACGACTATGGCTTATTGGTTAGTTGGGCGAAACAGCTTTAAAGCATATAAGAAGGCTGTCCGTAATGCAATCAGCTTATTACTCATTATTAATGGAGAAAAACAATGCCAGGTTTCTTCTTAGTAACGACTTTATGAACTTCTTTAATGACAAGATTCTAAGTATTAGAGAAAGAATTGATGGTCTCCTGGCTTCAACCAGTGCCGACCCGCCCTCGGGCGTAGGAACCTTGGAAGCAGCTGTTGGTCCTGATACGCTTCTCTCTCTCATAAACCATGATCAACAGACTTCTACAATTTTGAAGTCTAAATTACTTGTCTCTTGGATCTGAATAGGCTGCTTAAGGAAGATTTGCCTTTCTGGATGGCTCTAAGATCCTTGAGAACAACGGTTTGTTTGAGGATTTATAGTCAGGAGTCTATCATAGCACAAAAACAGCACTGGCGAAAATTACAAATGAAAAATAAAAGTGCATCGGACAAAGGACTAGTCTCTGTTCTTGTCCTGCTGGACCTCAGTGTTGTGTTTGACTCCATTGATCATTACATCCTGTTGCAGAGACTAGAACCTTTGATTGGTATTAAAGGAACCACACTCAGCTGGTTTAGAGCCTTCACATCTTCCGCCGCAAACTAAAGACACACCTCTTCAGACTCTACCTCGACTAAAGACTAACAAATTGTAGCACTTAAATTGTACTTGTAACGCCTCTCATCTATAGCAAATTGCAAATTGGCTTATTTGAGGAAATTACACTTTCTTGTTTCTTGTTCTCCTGAGTTTGTACCCTATGGTTGAATGCACTTATTGTACGTCGCTTTGGATAAAAGCGTCCGCTAAATGACATGTAATGTAATGTAATGTTTAAGGCGTATGGTCCTAATAACAATGATGTACAGTTTTTAACTTGAATTTGAATTGAATTGAATTTGAATTGAATTTTCCGAACATGTATAAAAGGGGGAAAATGTTACTACTTGTACACACAAAGAAAATACAAATTATTAAAAAAAAATAGAACAACAAATAGCTAAGACACAACAGAAAAAAAAACAGTTCGAAAAAAAGGAGTGGGAAGAAGCATGACACTTATTTGATGTCCCTCCCCTTTTCAACTGCTCTTCAGCCTGTACCCACACAGAATACTACATAATACACCTACATACCACGCATATCCAATCACCAAAACAAACATACACCACATACGTATCCCTGCAAAAATACCTATAACATGTAAATATGTATTTATATACATACGTAGACTAATAATAATAATATTTATTTATTTATTAATAATGATATACCAAATACATTATATAAAATAAATCACAAAAACAAACATACACCACATACATATCCCTGCAAAAATACCTATAACATGTAAATATGTATTTATATACATACGTAGACTAATAATAATAATATTTATTTATTTAATAATAATGATATACCAAATACATTATATAAAATAAATACAATCTAACATATATATAGTGCTGAGTAGTTATACCAATCACCTTCTCTCTTCGTTACAGTACCTGTTGAGAATCACCAGTTTGAGTCTTTTTTTAAACAGTCTTGCTTGGACTTTGCTTCGATGTTTGACAATGAAGCTAAATAGAAACTGTAATTGAAGATTGAGAGAGAGAGATGGACAGACGGCGGATAGAGTAGAGAGAGAGAGAGAGAGAGAGAGAGAGAGAGAGAGAGAGAGAGAGAGAGAGAGAGAGAGAGAGAGACTAATGGAGAGAGCAGGGATCTGATTTCCGGCAACACGTAGCTGAGGACAGAGCAGGTCCCTATCCGCTCTTCTTCCGCCCACTTCTCGCTACCCCGTGCAGAGCTCATGCATGTGAGCTCCATGTGGGACCGGCGACACCGTCCAACGGTCAGAGGCTACTGGTGACTTTACAGAGACGGACGGGACTCGGTGGAATCACGCCGTTAGAACCGAGCTCGTCGTTCGGGGTGATGAAACGCTCCACTCTTCCGACCCAGGAGCAGCCTGCCCTGGAGGGCGTGGCCGAAGAGGAGGACGTGTTGGCCGCGGAGGTGAGCTCCACGAGCACGCTGGAGCCCGGCCACACTCAGGTGTGTAGGGTTACGTGTTTGTGTACGCGTGTGTGCGTGTGAAACGTCCACTCAGCCAGCTCGTTAGGGTGGATAAAAGATACGAAATTGAGTTTTCTCACTATGCCTCTTAGGTAGCTTGTGAGGAAGACGATAAGAGGGAGGAAGAGGCCCAGCTGTCAGTGTCTGGGATGGAAGCAGAGTTTGTCCAGCTGACCTTCAGGAAGCAGGTGTCCTATAGGTAGGAGACACCACACACAAAAAGTGCTATTGCGACCCGGGAACTGGTTTTACCTGAATGTGAGGCGCCCACGTCACTGCCTCAGTGTCTCTGTCACATGACGCAGTGCATGTGTGTGTGCACGTGGTAATACAGCTGAG